TTGGTTGAAGTATTTATAGCAAACACGTTATTTATATAATGGATAAAATGTTCTTTGCGAAAAGATTAAAAAAAAAAAGCTGTGTTCTGATACCTAAAGAATTCAAACCTACAGAAAAGTGGCAAAAGTGTTCAAAGAACCCCCGTAAACCCCCTCCCCCAGATTCACGTATTGTGAAGATCCGGCTACATTTGCACTCTATATGCATATACACATTTTTCTGAACCGTTGGAGGGTCAGTTGCTGATATCACACCCCTAATTATTTCCGCGTATATTTCCAAGAACAAGGGCAGTCTCCTACATAACACAGCACAATAATAAAAATCAATAAATTTAACGTCGATACTATACTATTATCTAATATACAGTGAAGTGTTGCTAATTGTTTCCATATTGTTCTCAGCAGTCACTTCCTTCCCAGCCCAGGATCCAATCCACGACCACAGATTGCATTTTGTTGCATGTTTCTTAGTCTCCTTTAATCTGCAACGGCTCCTCGGCTTTTCTCTGCCTTTGGTGACAAGACATTTTTGCAAGAGTGCAGACCAGTTATTCTGTAGCAGAATACACTGTAACTCGGTTTGGGTTTGTCTGCTGCTTCCGCGTGATTAAATTAATTTCATGCACGGCTGACTGGATGGTGATGCTGTGTCCTTCTCAGGGCGTCACATCAGCAGGTGTGCGATGGATGTCACTTTGTCCAGTTACTGATGTTAACACGGACCATTTGGTTAAGATGGTGTCGCAGCTTCTCTATCACAGGGTAGCTCTTTCCCCTTTTTAATGACCAAGTAATTTGCGGCGATTCATGTGAAAGGCTTCGAATGACCTCTCAATTTCATGGGACAAAAAAGGCGAGGCTTTTCTCCGAGGAAATGGATACCCATTTCTTGCAGAACAGATCTCCTAGCAGCTTGCCTTCGGGTGTACCAGCCTTTGTCAATAAAGTTACGTGAGGGACGCCTGGGTGGCTCAGTCGGTTAAGCTTCCGACTTCGGCTCAGTTCCTGACCTCACGGTTCGTTGGTTCGAGCCCCGAGTGGGGCTCTGTGCTGACAGATCAGAGCCTGAAGCCTGTTTCCGATTCTGTGTCTCCCTCTCTCTCTGACCCTCCCCTGCTCATACTGTCTCTGTCTCTGTCTCTCTCTCTCAGAAATAAATAAAACATTTAAAAAAAAAAAAAAAGGTACGTGAACGTGATCCTTTCCGGAAGGGCTGAGTCCGCTGGACCGCAAAGCATGAAGGGAATTGTAGTCTCCCTGGGAGCTCGCGGCTACACGCCGCCCTGTGGCCTCCGGGAGAAAGAGCCAGAAGCCGAAAGGGGAGGGCGCAGAGAGAGCCGGCGGAGGCGCGCCGGGACGCGGTGCATCACGGGACTGGTAGTTTGAGGGCGTGCTCCCGACGCGGCCTCCGCGCTCCGTGCCGAAGAACTGGACTACCGTACCCGCCGGGCCACTCGAGCGGGGGAAGGGGAACCCGGCCTGGGCCTTGAACAAATCAAATCGAAGGAAAGAAACTGCCGGCTTTCAAAAATCCTCCTCCTCCGCCATCATCCGCGGTCGTGCGGGGAGCAGGTGGTGTCGGAGACGGGAGTGGCTAGAACTGCCGGGAGAGCTGACGGAAGAGCGGGCCGGGCATCGGGACCGCTGGGCTCGGGGGCGGCGACCCCGACCTGACCTGACCCGGACCCTAAATCAGTCCCCGCCCCTGCCGGGCGGGCGCGCGCGCTCGGGTTGCCTCACGCGGCGGCGGCGCCGCCAGTTCACGGTGAGAGCCGGGGTCCCTTGTCTTTCCCCGTCACCTGCCTGGGATGGGGGCGGTGGGCGGCGCGCCGCTGCAGTTGGGCGTGGAAGGTGTGGCGCCCCTGAGCGCCTTCTGGGCGTCTTCTCGGCCTTCTCCCCCGCGCTTCGACGGCCAAGCGCGGAGGGGCTGAGAGAAGGGGTTTTGGGGGGGGGGCGCGGGCCCCTTTCCCAGGTGGGGAAACTGAGGCAGGGAGAGGGCGTCTGGCGCTGCGGCCGGCGGCGGCGTCCCCTGTTGGCGTCGGTGACAGCTGGGGGCGGTGCGCGTCCTCCAGGGATCCCGGATGGGGCTCCCGCGCCGCCCGCCTGTCATTTGCGGCCCGCGCTCGCGCGTCGCTCGCCCGCCGCCGCCTCCCGGCAGTCCCACGCCCGCGGAGGGCCCGGGCTGGCGCTGCAGCCCCCGGGAACGACATGAGTCACTGCTGACGCTTCGCGGGAGCGAGAGCCGTGCACCTGAGAAAATCAGCGACTTCGGCGCCTAGAAGGGAAAGAGGCTGTTTGTGTATTTATTGTCTTTGCCGCTGACCCTTCGCAGACCTGGGGCAAATCACGCCACCCGTCTGTGCTTCGCTTTCGGAGTCTTCGCAGTGGACGGTGTAGATGTGCACCGACTGGACTGAGGAATAGGCCCTTTCCCAGCCGAGAGGTTCTGCGTTCCCATGCGACCCTACGTAGGGACCGTTTTTCTTGCCCCTCTCAGAACTGCAGGAGGTGGTGGGTTTCAGGCTGATTTTTATTTCAGTTTCAGGTCTTCATTCTTGGAGCACCTTCTAGACGCCAGGCCTTAGGTTACACAGAAGTGATGCCGTCAGAGGATCTGTCAGAGCCTGTCCCTTCTCTGCTAGCAACCTATTAGTGGCTCCGTTAAACGCCACATTCTTTAAATGGGCTCTGTGATTTGGGCCTCTTGTTAAATTCTCTTATTTCTTGTTTCCGTTTCCCTTCCCTTTTTTGCACCCCAGCCCCACTGGCCTCCTTGCAGTTCCCTCTGACCTCCCCTTCCCTTCCCCCCTCCCAACAAGAGCCTCTGCATTTGCTGTTCCCTTTGCAAGAAGGCTCTTCCCCCAGATATCTGCCTGGCCCTGTCCTTCATGGCCTTCAAGTCTTTATTTCTTTCCTCATAATACCTTCTCTGAGCATCCTGTTTTAAATTGCAACCCCCAGAATATATCTCCCCCCCCCCCCGTTTTATTTTTCTTCTTGTCGTTGTCTTAAGATACTAAATATCTTGTTTAGGACACATGTTTTAAAGAGGGCAGGATTTTTGTTTCATTCACTGCTGTACTCCTGGTATCTGGAGCAATGTCAGAGCACAGTAGTACTCAGTAGAAGTTTGTTGAGTGAATGATTAGACACCTTCTTACCAAGAAGAATAATTCATGCTTATTGATAAAGATAGGTAAACTTGGGGGGGCGGGTGGGGGCTCAGTCGGTTAAGGATCTAATTCTTTTTTTTAAGTTCATTTATTTGAGAGAGAGGGTGTGCAGCCACGTTGGGGAGGGGCGGAGAGAGAGAGAGGGAGGGAGGGGGGCAGGGAGGGAGAGAGAGAGAATGAGAATCCCAAGCAGGCTCCACACTGTCAGTGCAGAGCCAGACTCAGGGCCTGAACTACAAACCATGAGATTAGGACCTGAGCTGAAGCTGGGATGCTTAACCGACTGAGCCACCCAGGTGCTCCAAGCATCCAATTCTTTTTTTTTTTATTTTTTCTTTTTATTTATTTTTTTTTACAAATAGTTTATTGTCAAATTAGTTTCCACATAACACTCAGTGCTCATCCCCAAAGTGCCCTCCTCCATGCTCATCCCCCCTCCCCCCCACATACATCAGTCCTCAGTTTTTGTCAGCATTCAAGAGTCTCTCATGGTTTGCCTCTCTCCCTTTCCCCCACCATTTCTGCCCTTCTTCTCCCCCTTGTTCCTCCGCCAAGTTCCTCCTAATCCTCCTATACGTGCAAACATATGATATTTGTCCTTCTCTGCCTGACTTATTTCGCTCAGCATAACACCCTCAAGGTCCATCCATGTTGCTACACATGGCCAGATTTCATTGTTTCTCATTGCCATATAGTATTCCATGGTATAGATAAACCACATCTTCTTGATCCATTCATCTGTTGATGGACACTTAGGCTCTTTCCATGTTTTAGCTATTGTGGAGAGTGCTGCTATGAACATTGGGGTACATGTGCTCCTATGCCTCATCATTTCTGTATCCCTTGGGTAAATTCCTAGCAGTGCTATTGCTGGGTCATAGGGGAGTTCTATTGTTAGTTTCCTGAGGAACCTCCACACTGTTTTCCAGAGGGGCTGTACCAGTTTGCATTCCCACCAACAGTGTAGGAGGGTGCCCATTTCTCCACATCCTCGCCAGCATCTCGAGTTCTCTGATTTGCTCATTTTAGCCACTCGGACTGGTGTGAGATGGTATCTCAGTGTGATTTTGATTTGTATTTCCCTGATGAGGAGGGATGCTGAGCATCTTTTCATGTGTCTGTTGGCCATCTGGATGTCCTCTTTGGAGAAGTGTCTGTTCATGTCTTCTGCCCATTTCTTCACTGGGTTGTTTGTTTTTCGGGCGTGTAGTTTGGTGAGTTCCTTATAGATTCTGGATATTAACCCTTTATCTGATATGTCATTTGCAACTATCTTTTCCCATTCCGTTGGTTGCCTATTAATTTTCTGGGTTGTTTCCTTGGGTGTGCAGAAGCTTTTAATCTTGATGAGGTCCCAACAGTTTATTTTTGCTCTTGATTCCCTTGCTTTTGGGGATGTGTCAAGTAAGAAGTTGCTGCGGTCCAAGCATCCAATTCTTGATATCGGCTTGGGTCATGATCTTGTGGTCATGAGACTGGGCTCCATGCTGAGCATGGAGCTTGCTTGTGATTCTCTCTCTCTCTCCCTCTCCCTCTCTCTCTCTCTCTCTCTCTCTCTCTCTCTGTCACACACACACACTCTATCCTCCATATTGGTGTTCCTTGGTCTCCCCCGATTACATGCCATTTTTTTGGGGAAATGGAGGGTCCTTTCTGCCGGTCTGCTGAGTTCTCCAGGTTGGAAGCTCCTTTCTTCAGCACCTCTGCCCTTGGTCTATTGTGATGGTGGCTCTTGTGATGTAGAGACCTCTGGTCTCCTAGGAACTCCTGAGACCTGGCCACCACGGGCTGCCCGGTCTCCTGACCAAGGTTGAAATCGTACGTGCGGTGGGCTGACCCCTGTTCCCCACCCCCAGAGACATGCCAGCGTGGGTGGTGGGGCATTTCCTGGGATGGATGACCCGGATCCCTTAGCCATGTTAGTCCTGTTTGAGAAATGGGACCCTCAAACAGAGAGCAGCCAAGATGACCAGGCAGGTGTGTGTTGGGGGCAGGCTCTTTGCCACCATCAGTCTCAGACTCAATGGCATTCACCGGGGACCCAGGAAGTGGGCAGCTCCAGGCTATGCCTGGTGTCCCAGCTGTGGCAGTCGGGCAGGGAAGCTGAAGTGAGATGGTAACTCTTCAGAGGGTAAAGCATGATTTTACTACTTTCTTGCCACTTTCTCCACTTGCGTAGAATTGTTCCTTCCCTACTGCTGTTTTCATTTTTTCCAGTAGTTTAGCTTTTGGAGTCTTCAGAGCACAGGGGGAGGTCAGCTCAAGCCCCTGAAATGGGTTGTTTATTCCTCTGCCCTCCCCAACCAAGGAGCCCTAGGAGAATTCTCTCTTTTAATGAAACTTTGGCCTGCTCAGTTTGCAGATTTCCAGGGGAGTCCAGCAACGTAGCCAGCATGGCCTCTGAAGACATTGCCAAGCTGGCAGAGACACTTGCCAAAACCCAGGTGGCCGGGGGACAGCTGAGTTTCAAGGGCAAGAGCCTCAAACTCAACACTGCGGAGGATGGTGAGTTTCTGCTTGGGCTGGCCCAGGGGAAGGAAAGGAGTGTGTGAATGACCGCTTGCTCTTACTCACGTTTGGGCTCGTGCAGCTCCGTTATCACGTCATTTGTCCTAGTAGCTCTGTGAGGTCGCTGGACCCATTTCACAGGAAGGCTCAAAGATGATGTGCCCACAAGCACATACAGATTTCTATGCCTGTCGTCACGTGTTTGGAAAGTATCCTTGCGCGTGATGGCTTTAGGTCGCAGGTGGGTGTGTCTTTGGGGGGATAGTAAGCAATGAGAGACAGCCGTCCCAGGATGTAGCCGATGACTTCTTACTTCACACCTTTACCCCCACGATCCCAGCCTGGTCTGAGAGTACTGGCTGCCTTCCCCAGGGCTAAGGCCCTCGTGCAGCTGTATTAAAACAATAATCCAGGCCCTCTTGGGAGGTCTAGTCCATTCAGCCGAGTGCCCTTGGGAGAGGGATGGACGCTCCTGTCTGTGTACAGGAACCAGGACTGGAGGGAACTAGGCACCAAAATACAGGCCCTGTCTTTTCATCCCTGGCCAAAGCATGACTAACACCGGTCAGCCCTGAATCCCCTGGTGTCTGGGAGTGAAGGCACCTACATCAGTACCTGTAAGGCCTTTTGAGGTTCTGGCCTGACCAGGGAAACTGGTCTGGGCTTGCCTGGTTGTCATGGAGTACAGGCAGGCCTGCTCCCCTGCACTGGCTCAGAAATGACTTGAGTCCTTGGGTGGCTGGGAGTGTGGGAGTACATTTTCTGAATCTCTCTGAAAGGCCCTAAGATTTAGAGTTTCTCTCTGTGCTATTATCACTTTTGGTCATGCCTCCTGCCTGAGGGAGGGAGGTAGAAATGTTACCATTTTATAAATAAGGAAAAAAGATTTGGAAGAGCTAACTTGCCCAAGATCACACAGCTGGTAAATAGCAGAGCCAGGATTTTAACAGATGTCCAACTGAATCCTTGTGCCTGTGTTTCTCAGTAGACATTCAACTCAGTTCGGGAAACATGAATTTGCTATTAAATGCCATTCATTGGGGCGCCTGGGTGACTCAGTCAGTTGAGCATCCGACTCTTGATTTCAGCTCAGGTCGTGATCTCAGGGTCATGGGATCAGTCCCTGTGTTGGGCTCTGTGCTGTGTGGAGCCTGCTTAAGACTCCACCTCCGTCTCCCTCTCCCTCCTTCCCTTCTCTCCCTCTGCTCCTCTCCCCTACTCGCTCATGTGTGCACTCTCTCACTCTCTCTAAAATAAATGCCATTCACCAAATACCTAGTCAGGCAATCTTAAGTGCCATGCAAACAGTATCTCAGTTTATCCTCACAAAAGTCCTTGAGATAGATTTCATCCATCTGGGGCGCCTGGGTGGCTTAGTCGGTTTTGCGTCCGACTTTCGCTTTGGTCATGATCTCGCGGTTCGTTGGTTCGAGCCCTGCTTTGGGCTCTGTGCTGACTGCCAGCTCAGAGCCTGGAGTCTGTTTCAGAGTCTGTGTCTCCCTCTCTCTCTGACCCTCCCCTGTTCACGCTGTCTATCTCTCTCTCTCCTAGAAATAAATTAAAAAAAAAAAATTAAAAAAAAAAAAAGATTTCATCCACCTTTTGTAGATGGAAAACTGAAGCCCAGAGAGGTGATAGGACTTGCCTAAGGGCACAGTAGGGCAGTGAAACCTGCTGCACTGATTAGAACCCAGCTTGTCTAAGCATGCAGATGGGGCACTTGGGTGGCTTAGTCACTTAAGTGGCCGATTCTTGATCTCAGCTCAGATCTTGATCTCAGAGTCTTGAGTTCAAGCCCCACTTTGGTCTTGGCGCTGGGCTTGAAGCCTACTTAAAAAAAAAAATCCATGCAAATAACCACTTCACGAGTGCAGGCTGGATATGCTGCGTCCGTTTTGTAGGTCACCAGGAAGGCCCAGCTTACAGCTCCAGCTTCTGAGGCACTCCTAACCTGGAGTAGGAGGGAGGTACTCAGATAACTTCCAGGAGGCAGAAGGTGAGACATGCTCTGGGAAATGTGAACAGAAAGTTCTGAGAAGAAAGGCGATGGACAGGGATTACTTCTAGTTGGGGAGGGCCTGGGAAGTCTCCATGGGTGAAGTAGTGTTTGAACTGTCCTTGAAGGAGAAAGGGCACTGTAGGCAGGGAGAACCACATGAGTTAGGCACGGGAGCTGAGACACATAGGATGGGCTTCGGAGTAAGGAAATCAGAATCCCATAGGGCGGGCAGGGCAGAGGCCCTTGAATGCTGTGCAGAGGAGCCTGGCGGCCTGATCCTGGGCCCAGAAAGGGACTCTGTGTTGGCCAGGAGTGAGCTGGCACAGTCCAGAGAGGGCAAGGGCCTGTGTGAAGAAGCCATGAAACTGGTGGTGAACAAGGCGCTGTTCACTTATCAGCAGGTCATTTAAGGTCCGAAGAAAGGATTTTTCTGCTTTACATGGCTAAGTCGTAAACACACGGAACTGGATAGTTTGAGGTGGTGGAGGCTGAAATGCGGGCCCTGCGGCACAGCACAGCCCAACGACGGGGTTATTCAGGGGTGGTTGGGACCTGTCCCTAACCTGTTGCTAAGTCAAGTATATATAACTCCAATTGGATTGAAAACCAAGAGAGAGAAGCAACCCAGCGGTGATCTCCTCGCTCTCCTTTCCCGGGTTGGTGCTCCTTCTTCCAGGCTTGCTTTGTGCTTGTGACTCTCCCCAGGGCTGAACTTCTGCACGCCACCCGTGAATCTCTGTACTTCTGTCACTTATGCAGTGCCTGTCTTCCCTTGGGGCCCTGACAGCTGTCACCTTACTCTTAAGGGCTGCATAAATATTCCCCTGAGCAGGTCTCTGCCCCCCTTAGGACCATCCCTAACCTGGCCGGTCCCTGGATGTTAGAGGGGCTCCGTTTTGGAGCAGGTCTTCCGAGATTTCAGCCCTTGCGTTGTGAGCTGGCTGCAGAGGGGCCCTGGGCAGCAGGGACCCTGGAGTTGCAGCTCCACGGTGGTCATGGGGGGTGGGGGGCTTCCTGCCAGGGGGCTGCATAAAGCTCATGGTTGTGCACAGAAGCAAGGATGCGGGGAAGGGCACACAGGTAGAGGTTTGGAAGACCAGTCTGAAGCCTGGCTCTGCTGTTTTCCTGAATTCCTGGGCAGAGTTGCTTTATTCTTTTTTTTTTTTTTTTAATGCTTTATTAATTTCTGAGAGAGAGAGAGGCAGTGTGAGCAGGGGAGGGTCAGAGAGAGAGGGAGACACAGAATCCAAAGCAGGTTCCAGGCTCTGAGCTGGCTGTCAGCACAGAGCATGACACGGGGCTCGAACCCACAAACTGTGAGATCATGACCTGAGCTGAAGTTGGATGCTTAACTGACTGAGCCACCCAGGCGCCCCCAGAGTTGCTTTATTCTTGAAACCCCAGCTTCCCTTTCTAGGTGATGGGAGGCTCTTCCCTGGCCTGCCTTCCTGGTTGTGACACAAGAAAAGGAAAATGAGTGCTGGCCACCACTCTCTGGCCGTGTGACCTTAGGCAGTTAGTACCTTCTCTGTGTCTCCACTCACTCAACTGTGAAGTAGATGTAACAGTAACTGCTTGAGTAGGTGTGGGAGAGAATGCTAAGTGCTCCTCTCTGGGGGGCATAGTCGGAAGCTGAGGCCGAGTCCAGGAGCTCATGACCCAGTGAGGAAGAGGGTATGAACAACGTCTCCACATAACAATCAAGTTGTCATGTGGAAGAGTGTGAAATTGTAGCAGGCGGCGGCATTTGCAAGGAGACCGGGGCTGTGAAACCTGCCAGGCAGGTTGGGAGTTTAGCTGCTGGGGTGGAGACCGAGGGAGGGGGTGTGTGCAAAGGCCCCACTGGGACAGCTTCTCAGGGAGCTCCCAACACTGTCCATCTCTTCCCCATCACGTCACCTCCCGCATCTTGTGTGCCAGCCAGACTAGATGGGCTTTGTCTTGGGGGCCTGGGTGGCTCAGTCGGTTAAACGTCCAGCTTCGGCTCAGGTCATGATCTCACGGTTCGTGGGTTTGAGCCCTGTGTCGGGCTCTGTGCTGACACAGAGCCTGGAGCCTGTTTCGGATTCTGTGTCTCCCTCTCTGACTCTCCCCTGCTCACACTGTCTCTTTCTCTCTCTCTCTCAGAAATAAATTAAAAACATTAAAGAAAAATTTTTTTAAAAAAGATGGGCTTTGTCTTGTGCATCTGGTGTGTTTTTGTTCAGATTGTAAACTTTTCATACAGGCTTGTTATAGAACATAGAAATATGGAAATAAGGCAAAAAACCATACCTTCATTATCTCCCAGCCCAGGATACAACTACTGTTAATTTTGGTGCATTTTCTTTCCAGTTTTTTTTTTAAAAACATAGCTGAGTTCGTTCATTCATTCTTTTTCTTTTATTTTAATAATTGGGATCATAATGACAGAATCTTTAAAAGTTGCTGTATAACTTGGTACATGAAGGATATACCAAGCAGATGATGGAAAAGCACAGAATCACCCATAATCCCAGCACATAGAGATAACTCTTTGAACATTGGGTTTCTATCCTTTTAGACTTTGGTGTCAGGGTGTGTGTGTGTGAGAGAAAGAGACAGACAGGTGTGGAGAGGGAGGGGGAGAGAGAGAATACATTTAATTTTTTTGTTTTTGTTTTATTTTTTAAAGTTTATTTTGAGAGAGAGTGCGCATGTGCGTGCCAGTTAGGGAGGCGTGGAGAGAGAGGGAGAATCCCAAGCAGGCTCCTCATTGACAGTGGAGACTGATGGAAGGCTTGAACTCAAATCATGAGATTATGACCTGAGCCACAGTGAAGAGTCAGATGAGATGCTTACCCAACTAAGCCACCCAGGTGCCCTGTATGTATTTTTTAATAGGCATAACATTTTAAATGTGTGGTCAGATAAACACGGGTGGAAAATCTCATCATTCACTTATCACTATGACATGAGTATTTTTCAAGTCAGGTAGAACACCTGTGGCACCATTCATGATGACGTCCGTGTAACTGTATATTGTAGCCCAGTGAATCAACCTGTTCTCTGCTGATGGGCGTTTAGTTTGTTTGGGACTTTTCATTGTAACAAAAAACAATATAGTCATGAGCACCCCATGCATGAGTCCTGTAACACTGAGCGCCTTCATGTGGTTGTGCCCCCGGCCCTTAGACTTGGATGCCGGTTCCCCACTTGGCCTCATGCACCCCTTGTGCAGGGAGCCTCCGCACACACCATCTATAAGGTGCTCTAGGCCCCTTCTTTGCCCCGTGCAGCCAGTTTCTTTCCTCCTTTGACTCCCGAGCCTTCTACACACATGCCTGCTTTAACACTCACTGCAGAGGAATACCATGTCCCCTGGTAGAATATGGGCCTGTCCGATTCTCCTTTGCAAGCCAGGGCCCAGCACCCAGCAGACATACTAGTGCTTTTGGAATTGGGAGCGACGAGGTGGTGGCCGGGCTCTCTTCTGCTGTAGCTGTTCGTGACTCCGGAATCTGAGGGTCTGTTCTTTGGTCCTGGCAGCCAAAGATGTGATTAAAGAGATCGAAGACTTTGATGGCTTAGAGGCTCTGCGCCTGGAGGGCAACACGGTGGGCGTGGAGGCAGCCAGGGTCATTGCCAAGGCCTTGGAGAAGAAGTCAGAGTTGAAGGTAAGATTTGCAGGGCGAGCAGGCCCAGACTGGTTAGGGATAAGCTTCCACTCGGGCCGCCACAACCCCTGCCTATGTCTAGACCCTCCTAGGGTCCTGCCTTGTTGGCAGTCACCGAGAGCAGCTCTTGTTGCTCTGGCCTCCCAGCATTGGCCAGGGCTCCTTTCCCTGTGTGATGTGTCCATTTGGGTCCCCCAGTAACAGACAGGAAGGTCAGGTTTACCTGGTAACATGCGTGAAAGATAAAGGAGGAAGAAGCAGAACTGGACAGAGAGAACCTTTAGCCAGCCCCCTTTAGGGGAGTCCCATGCAACACCAGTCCTTCAAGATGCTCTGTGAGAAGAGTTGGGGTATCATGTGTTTAAAATGTCAGGAAGCTGTCCCTGCACGTTCTCCATTCCTGGGAATCCTGGTGTTTATTAGCTCATTAAAGTCTCTGCAGAGTCATGAGGGAGAGACCTGCTTTCTTGAATGCAAATGGTGCTTGATGCGCGTGGGACCAGGTTTGTGCAGGGCTCTTCTGCACGTGTCATTTGGTCCTCACTGCACCCTGGGGAATAAAGACTGTGTCCGTTTTGTAAGTCCAGGGAACCGAGGCTCAGAGGAGGCAAGTAAATAGCTCAGGATCCTAATGTTGATAAGTAGCCAAACCACATGACACACTCTCAAGTCTGATACTCTTTCCGGCTGCCATGTGCTTTCTGAAGGGAAGGAATGCGGGGCCGGGGCCAGGGCCAGCGGAGTGATTTGCCCAGTGAGGACCTGGAGCTAGTTCATGAGGTGGCCTTGCTCTTCGTTTCCTTGGGAAGATCACGGTCAGGTTAATAGCCAAGGCATTGGCCGTTTCTTCTTTTCTGCCCAGGGCCTGTTGTTTCCCTGAGCATACGCAGGGACATTGTCCTGTAAGAGAACTTAGCTCACCCCAGTGACCAGTGAAGGAGCAGGAGTGGAGGAGGTGCCACACGAACTGTGCTTTGGCATCTGAGGGTCTGGGGTTAAGCCCCCGTACCACCACCTTATCTGTGTTATGTGGCCTTGCACCAAACTCCGCTCTGAGTCCAAGCTCCTTTGTGAAAGGTTTTTCTTCCCTGTGAGGTTGCCGCGGTGACAGTGTACAGGCTTGTGTCATGAGAGAGCTTGGCCATCAAGAGTGCCTTGTGCATCTTGTCATCCCTTGCAGACCTAGTGCCGTGAGTCGCCCTGCTTAGCATCTCAGCTCTGTGCCTGTGCAGGAGGCAGCGGGGGGTGGGGCAGGGCCCGATTGCAGGGGTATTCCAGGCAGGGTGCTGACACAAGTTAAGACATTACCACCCTGTTGCAACATAGGCATAAGCTAGGTCTTGACAGATAAGAAGAGTGTGGGTCAGGGATCAGACATCTCAGGAGCGAGGTGGGATTGGAGCCCAGGTAACAGCCCAGCCTCATAACGAACGGCTCTGCGGTAACCACTGCTCACTTAGAGATTGTCGAGGTCAAAAGCTTCATTTCAAACAGGGGATCCCAGGGGTCAGAGACAGGGAGGGGTGAGCGGCAGGCCTGGAGTCAGCTAAGTTGGTTGGAACATAGTCCTTGTGCCCGGAATCCCTGTGCTAACCCTTGGCCCATCAGGCGTGGGTTCAGGAAGCTTCGGGGTGAGGTGCGAGTTGTTAGGGTTCTGGTGTTCAGGTTGTTGGCTGCCTGTCTCCACTCTGAGCACCTGTATTCAGATGTGACTCACTGAGCCCACCCATGTAGACTGCCTCCCTGAGGCCCCACGTGTGTTAGTGATCAGTTTATTGGAGGCCTAAACCAGAATGCCTAGTACTTAAGGTTCGATTTAGTTCAGACATTTCAAGGAGTGGATTTTCAAGGGAAAGTTGCTTTGTCTGGGTTTCATCATTCGCAGGATGGGCCCAGGAAAGTCTGGACCTGCGAGAATTGATATTTTGGGTGGACACAGCAACCAGAGTTGAAGGGTAGGGCTGTGTGCTTGGAGCTTAAACTCTGCTGGCATGTGACGCCACGACCCAGTCATAGGGCCTCCCCCTTAGTGGCATTAACCTGATACTTTCTTTAAATCAGCTCATTTTGATGTCATTTAAAAGCAAACATGATCCCTTCTATAAATGGAAAGTGGTTTTCCTTACCATAAAGGAAACAAAAGAGTATTATTAAATTCTGGTTTGATGCATTGTCTCCTAAAGCACTGTCCCTTGAGGCATTGTCCCCTCTGGGCATGTGGCCTGCTCATCCTTCATTCAAAGGCAGATGAGCAAGGAGTGGAAAGGTGGGCAGGATCCACCAGCCCCAAATCAAGGCTGCCTTCTGGACGTGGTCAGAGGGTTGAAAAGAGCCTTGAGGGGCGCCGAGTCAGTAGAGCATGAGGCTCTTGGTCTCCGGGTCATGAGTTTGAGCCCCACATTGAGCATAGAGATTACTATAAAAATAAAATAAAAGCCTTGAAAAATTAGTAACCTCCTGGCTGCTGGACCCTATGTTGCTTACTTCCTGTCACCCAAATCCTGATGTGGCACTTCAGCCCATGGCGTATGGGGAAACTGGTCTTGGAAACGAGCGCTGGGCCAGGAGTCTGGCGTATTGGCCCTGCTCCTGCCACTGCCCTGCCTGGGGGCCTGGGGCCAGTCCTTTCCTTCCCAGCCTGGTTTCTCTCCTAGAAAGCCAGAGGACTGGGTCGGTCAGGGATTTTCTGGCAGTTCTGCTGAGCCCCGTATGGCCTTTGGAGGCCTCCGGTCCCCCAGCTTTGACCAGAGCTGAGCCAGCTTTTTGCTGAGGAAACTCAAATTAAAAATTAAGCATTATAACTCTCAGTAGTCCACAAGCAGGAGCTGCTGCCTGCAGGCCCCTCTGAGGGGCGCCCCTAACGCTTCTCTTCCTCCTCCTTCCAAAGCGATGCCACTGGAGCGACATGTTCACAGGGAGATTGCGGTCTGAGATCCCGCCGGCCCTGGTAAGTGCACAAGGCCGCTGCTCCCCTCCCTGGGGCACAGGGGCCCCTATGGCAGTTCCCAGGGCTTTTTTCACCTCGTGGTGAAGATGCTGGAATGGAAGCCAGGGCAGCACAGCATCTGTCCTGTGACCTGATGGGCAGGTGAGAGTACAGGTGAGAATGGAGCCAGCGAGTGGGGCCTTGGATGCCAGGAGATTCGAGGCCCAGTTACGGGAAGTACAGCAGCGCCCAGGGATTCCAGGGCTCATTCTTGAGCTTCACCCCCGTGGGTCTCTCGCTTCCTCCACTCTTATCCCTTTTACCTTTGCACTTCCCTGTGTTGCTCCCTCATGCCCTTCTGTGCCCCCCCAGTCCTGTCTCACCCCGGGGCCTCTCTCCATACCACTGTTCTTGTTTTGCTTCTTATCATGGGTGGCTTTCATCCACTCTGTTTTCTATTTCCCCATTCCTGGGGCTCAGCTTGGCTTGGGTCAGATTCCTAGCCTGGGGTTCAGTGGTCCAGGTGGGAGGGTCGTCACTGAGCAGGACGTGGCTTGCCTGGGGTTCAAGGGAAGGAGCAGCACTGGTAGGCGCAGGGCTGCCTTCTCAGCCTTCCGTGCATCTAGTCAACTCAGGGGCTCCTGAGGTGCCCATGTACCAACCTCAGTTCTAAAGCACCTCATTCTAGGGGCCACCTAGCTGGCTTGGTGCAGCATGTGACTCTTGACCTCAGGATCGTGAGTTCAAGCCCTATGCCGGGTGTAGAGCTTACATTTAAATGAATGCATGGATGTATAAACAAATATATTAATAAATTTATGTAATAATAATAATGGGGTGCCTGGGTGACTCAGTTGATTAAGTGTCCAACTCTTGATTTTAGCTCAGGTCATGATCTCCTGGTTTGTGAGCTCGAGCCCTGAATTGGGCTCTGTGCTGTCAGTTTGGGATCCTCTCTCTGCCCCTCCCTTGCTCTCAGTGTACGCAGTATGCTCTCTCTCTTTCTCTCACTCTTTGCCCACCTGTGTGTCTCTGCCCACCTGTGTGCCCACCGAGTGCACACACACTCTCTCGCAAAATAAATAATGCTGAAAACTTAATATTGAAATAAGCCAATGTTAAAAAAATAATAAAGCACCTTGGTCTGGTAAACAACTAAGGGTGATTCAGGGAGTGACAGGGTCCCTAATGGGGACTCCAGAGGGAGGGCGCCTCTGTTGGGGGATTGAAGAAGCCCATGGGGAGCTGGTTACATTAGTTACCAGCCTCAAAGGGTGAACAAGAACCAGGTGAGGGTAGAATTGAGAGTATAGAATACATATATTCATTTGGAGGTTTGTAAGTAAAAGACTTGAAAGTTAGAAGCGCTTGGGGCACCTGGGTACCTCAGTTGGTTGAGTGTCCGACCTGACTTCGGCTCAGGTCATGATCTCATGGTTTGTGAGTTTGAGCCCCACATCAGTTTCTGTGCTGACAGCTCAGAGCCTGGAGCCTGGATTCTGGGTCTCCCTCTCTCTGCCCCTCCCTTGCTCTCTTTCTCTGTGTCTCAAAAATAAGTAAACGTTAAAAATTTTTTTTTAGGGGGACCTGGGTGGCTTAGTTGGTTAAGCGTCCGACTTTCGCTTAGGTCATGATCTCACGGTTCATGGGTTCGGGCCCCACGTCAGGCTCTGTGCTGACTGCCAGCTCAGAGCCTGGAGCCTGTTTTGGAGTCTGTATCTCCCTCTCTCTCTGACCCTCCCCTGCTCACGCTGTCTCTCTCTCTCTCTCTCTTAGAAATAAATAAAAATATTTAAAAAAAAAATTTTTTTTTAATGAAGAGGGAGGGAAGAAAACATGTTTGTTAGATACGAACTTTTGGGCCCTGTGTGCGTTGTTTTATCTGAATTTTAATATTTTTAGGTTTCTCAATTTTTTAATATATTTTGAGAGAGAGAGAGAGAGTGTGTGTGTGTGTGTGTGTGTGTGTGTGTGTGTGTGTACACAGACACACAGGTGGGCAGAGAGCAAGAGGGAGAGGAAGAGAATCCCAAGCAGGCTCTGTGCTGTTAACTCAGAGCCAGATGCGGGGCTCAAACTCATGAACTGTGATACCATGACCTGAGCTGAAATCAAGAGTCAGACACTTAAGCAGCTGAGTTTCCAGGCGTCCCGAGTTTCCAGGCGTCCCAAATTTCTCAGTCTTTAAAGGAGGTATTCTTATCTCCCTATTACCAACAGTGAGCGAATCTTAGAAAGGCAGATAAAAGAATTCGGGGTCCGGGAAAGGCGTGAGTTGCAGGGATGGTGGAGCAGACACAGAGGGTTTCCCCAGCTCTGGCTGTGGGAGGGCTGGGGGTTGTTGAGGCCAGATGACAGGGGCTCGGCCTTCTCCCGCAGTTGGGGCAGCCAGAGAATAGCCCTCCGTTGCCGAGTCAGTGGTGGGGAGGACGGTGGAAACGGCCTCAGCTATCCTGTCGGTGGCCTGGGCAGGGACAGTGTCTCTCCCCTCCCCCACTCCTTCCACTGGGAACCATGTGCATAATGCATGCCTTGCCCCGGGTCTGCCCCCGGTTTCTGGTAGAGCTCCCTCCTCACCTGTCTCCTGGGGAACTGTAGGAATCCCCAGCCCAGGAGGTTCCCAGGAGAGCTCGGCGTCTCCTTGCACATTGGTCCTGGGCTGTGGCTTGGAGAGAGAAACCCGTCAGCCCAGTGCCTGCCAGAAACCCAGGGGACATCGGTGGTGCCTGCCTCCTCTAAACACCCAGCTTCGGCAGGTCTTCCTCCCTCTGTGGGACCCGGAACTGACTGGGGGCTCCTGTCTCCTCTGTCCCGTCTCCCACCACACTGGCCAGCTGGCTTCCTCCTCTGCTGCCCGGATCACTGCCTCGTGCTCCTGGGCGGGCAGTCCGCCTCCAGCGTCCCCCTGCACGTCAGTGTGCCCTCCTCAGGTTTGGAGGATGTGTCCTCTCTGTCCCTCACCCACCTCAAAGCCCTTTGCCCCCAGGCTCTTAGGGTCATAGTCCTTGGCCTGATGTTCGGCGCTCTTGCCTGATTTGACTCTTCTTTCCTTCCAGCCTTAGCCTCTTCCGGAGTCCACTGCTTGTCACTAGACACACAGTGTGCTGCCTCATGTTTGTTTTCGTTATGTTCTTTTGTTTGCTCATGTTCATGCTTTTGCTGTTGGTTGGAATCTCCTTATGTGTGGTTGACTGATTCTCATCCAGCCTGAGCTCATATGCCACCTCCTATAGGAAGCCTTCCCTTACCACCCCCATGTATACCAAGGCCCATGCCCCACCTCAGTTGGGAGCCCTGTTCAGGGTTTCTGGTCCTAGACATAAAATAGGGACAGCTCTGTACTGAAATGGTCTGTGTCTCTGCCTGGGGGCCCCCTGAGGGCAAGGGGTCTTGGCACAGAAGCAGTACCTGGTGGGTTTCTATGAATCTGAGATGAGCCCTCTCTGTGCCCAGACCTCACTAGGGGAGGGACTCATCACAGCTGGGGCGCAGCTGGTGGAGCTGGACCTGAGCGACAACGCGTTCGGGCCCGACGGCGTTCGAGGCTTCGAGGCCCTGCTCAAGAGTTCTGCCTGCTTCACCCTTCACGAGCTCAAACTCAACAACTGTGGCATGGGCATCGGCGGTGGCAAGGTGGGTGTGGCGGGCTCCTGCACCTCCCTGTTGTCCCTCACCCTCCTTCCCTTCCTGCCCCGTCTCCTGCTGCGTTTGCATCCATTGGAAATGCGTGCCCTTGGCCACCACCTGGGAAGGCTGGGCTGTGGTTTTTCTCTTCAGAGAAGAAAGGCCTCAACGGCAGCAGCCTGTGGCCAGTGGGGAGAGGAGGTGGAGGCCTGGAGGGTGGGGTTGCCAAGCAACCGTTCCCAGTTCTCAGTGTTGTCTTGGCAACACAGAGGCAGTGTCGCATACAGGCCCGACCTGCTGGCTCTGCAGAGCGCAGGGCTTGGGCATCCAGACTTGCTGTGCCCCCAGAGCAGCTGGCAGAGCCACGTGAGGCCGGGTGTGTGCCCGTGGGGGAGGGAGCTCAGAAAGAGAGACTGCTTGGGCCTGGGCACAGCTCACCTTCTGCCTCGACGGGGCCTCCCCCGTCCTCCCAATCAGACAGGCTGGTCAGCACAGAAAGGCACCTCTTCTCTCCCCAGAACCTGTACCGAGGGAGCCCAGCCTCTTTCTCTTCCGGTCATTCTGGCTCCTTTAGGCCCAGATACCAGAAAGGCCAATTCCCTTTGCTCACATTCTGAACAAAAGAAAAGGACTGGGGCCCAGGGGCGAACAGCGACTGGGGACGTCTTCTCTGAAGATGTGTTAAACGCATTACCCTAGTTCTCCCACCCAGGCTGAAAGGGGGTGTGATGCTGCTCCCAGTTTTCCAGTTAACTGGACTTGGGTCAGGTCCCCAGATGGCGTCGCTAGGGTGGGACTAACGTGGGATTTGAACCTGCTTCTGTGCGTGTGTCAGAGCAGCAAGAGGAGCCCGTGTTGTGCTCGCAGTGTCCCAGGCTGAGGCTTCTGTGCGGCCTCCCCTGCCCTGGGAGGAAGATCCGGGGCGTGCTCCCAGCCGTCTCCGCCTGCCACCCCCCAAGTCTAGTTGGGCAGTAAGCCGTGCGTGTGCGAAGACATTAAAATGCTGGCATCAGCACAGAAAACAGGTCCAGCCCAACCCAGAGTGGGGTGTGCTGGGGGAGTGGCCACCTGTCTGTAAACGGCCTCAGCTTCCCATCAGCTGCCTCAGGCGCAGCCGTCCCGGGGGCCTGGGCTTCCAGAACTGGCCATCACGCGTTGCCCTTACTCAAGTACGTGGGATGGCATAGGGCAGTTTGAACCCCAGGAGATTCCTGGCTGCCCTGCTCTGCTCTCGAATGTGATTCGTACTTGTCTTTACCTCTTTCACCACTCATTCGGTGAGACCTTTTTGTCGCATCTTGTGGGTGCTGGCCTTGCTGATCTGCCCTTCCTGGGTCTCCCAAGTCCTTCAAGATCTGTTCCCTCCAACTGGAATGCATTCAGTGTGGTCCATGGGCTGCACACCGTGTCGTGTGCCACGCACATGGAGATTGGAGGGGCCCAGAGGATTCACGTGAGAATGAGACGTAGCCCTGTGCTTGGAACTCTCCAGACCCAGAGTCCCCAAGCTGGACTCTTATAGGAGTGATGACCTCACCATGGTGGCCCCAGAGGGAATTGGGGGGAATGGGGTGTGCTGGTACAGTTGGCCACCGCCTCTGCAAAGGTTCCCGAGGAGGCTGCTTGGTGACAGAGGTCCACAGCCTCCTCACTGAGCATGTGCACGACCCACCCCAGCGGGAGTCAGGCTGGTGATGGCCCCCAGGGACAGAGCAGTACAGGCAGGCTGGCCTGGCTGCCAGTTGTGGCTCCGACACATATTTGCTGTGGGACCTTGGCCAGTTCACTTACCTGTCTGAGCCTCGGCCTCCTTGTTTATGGATAAAAGCATGTTTATAGATGAAAGCCAATGCCGCTGGCCTCCCAGGCTCACTTTGAGGTTGAAATGAGGTGCAAAAGGACCCTCACTGAGCCTGCAGCTGACCTTCAGGTGCTCTGGAAACATTGTTTCTCTCCTGCTGCACTTCCTGTGAACCTTTGTTTCATTTGCCGGGATGTCTCTGATTCCCAGCAACCAGCCACTAGTTTTTAACTCTTGGTTCTTTTGGCATCACCCGTGTAGAAGCCACTTCCTGGCACCATAGCAGCAGCAGCAGGACAAACTGGATGTCTGGTTTTTCCTCCGAGCAGCCGAGACCCTGCCGTGTGAGGCTGGCCTGGGCATAAGGGTGTGCCAGCCGAGTGTGGTGGGGCCATGGTCCTGGCCAGCTCCCCTTAGGCACTGGGGAACATACAAGGGATGCCAGAAGATTTGGGTTCTGGGCCAGATTCTCCCACTTGCTTGGTGACTACAGGAATGTTTCTGTTCCTCTTGGAGCCTTAGTTTCTTTAGCCAGAAAGTGGGAATCACAATGGTCCTCCGCTGACAGAGGGCATCTGGCAGTAAAGTGAGCTGACTGGAGTGTCCTCCCAGGACCTGTCTTTAAATTGACCTGTCCGTGTTGGTGTCTCCCTTCCCTCTGGGTCTTTATCTCCCGTCTCTAACATGAGGCACAGGGTGGTGGGACGCACACAGGAAGTGGTGTATGAGAGAGTCCTCTGTCGTTAGCTGTGGGGTGCTGGCACGCGTGCAGTATGACCTTGGTGCTTGTGAGCAGTTCTTTGTCCCTGTGTCCACCACCGGTAGGTGGCGTGGGATGTTGAAGACCAGAGCCCCCTGCCTTAGGTCTGGGCCCTTTGTCTTTCCCCCGCAGATCCTGGCAGCGGCTCTGACTGAGTGTCACCGGAAGTCCAGTGCCCAGGGCAAGCCTCTGGGCCTGAAGGTCTTCGTGGCTGGCAGAAACCGTCTTGAGAACGATGGAGCCACCGCCTTGGCAGAAGCTTTTGGGGTGAGTGGTTTCTGCACTTCCAGCCCCGCCACGCCCTGAGGCAGGCGAGGCTTTTGCAGTCCTGGTATGCGTTCCCTGCTTTGGAATTGAGCTGTGAGGCCTATGGCAAGCTGCTTCCCCTCTCTGAGCTGCTGGCTCATCCTGCAGTGGGCAGAATTCGTGTCATGTGTCTGGTCTACCACTGCAGGGGAATTGGTAGCGGCTCCCAGGAATCCTGTTCAAGAAGACTGAGTTGCTCTGATCAGTGAGTGAGGTCTGCCAGGCTCAGGTACGGGAGTCAGGGGTGCCAGAGCAGGGAGCCGGACGACAGCCTGGCAAGGCGTTGGCCTGGGCTCCCTGAAGGTCAGTGTCTCTGGCCTCTAGTGGGTGGGGCATAGAGATAGAGTGAGTCCTCAGACTTACCGTGGACACGGAGGTAGGGGGCAGTGTCCCAGGTGCCCTTTCCCCCCACTCCTCTCCTTCCAGTCTCCTCTCCCCTCACAGCTGTGCTGGTGCCCTGCCCCGGCAATGCTGAGACCTTGACTGTGAGCTCTGGGAGAGGGCCACCCCCCGCCCCATGAGGCTAGGAATGTTGGAGTCTTTTCTCTTAATGTTTTCTGTGGCCAGCAGTATCCTAGCAGTGATAACTGTGCTCAGGCCACAGCAACATTCCCCATAGCCTTCCTACCTAAGGCCGTCTACCTGGTGGAGCTCACCTGCCTCAGGCGGAGACTGAGCATAGTGGGGACAGTGCCCTCCTGGGCCCCAGGCTGCAGGGACACTCCTGCGGCCTCTGGAGCTGGAGGAGCCTAGTTACCGTCCTTGTAAACATCGTGACATTAGGGGTTACGCCTTCTCTGCACTCCTTCCCTCAGCTTGCTGTCCCCAGTGCACTGGGAATGGGACGCTGTGGTTGTGCTAGGCATCCATCAGATGTCCTTCTGTGCTCTTGGACTTGGGGTCTGTGGATAGAACCCAGGAAGTCTTTGGACGTGGGTGGGGGAAGAGTGCATGATTATTAACACTAACATAATTAAAATGTAGTGGTTTTTTATTTATTTTTTTAAACAGTTAACTTTTTATTTTAACGTTTTTATTTCTGAGAGAGACAGAGAGACAGCATGAGCAGGAGAAGGTCAGAGAGAGAGGGAGACACAGAATCTTAAACAGGCTCCGAGCTAGCTGTCAGCACAGAGCCCGACACGGGGCTTGAACCCACGAACCGTGAGATCATGACTTGAGCCAAAGTCGGGCGCTTAACCGACTGAGCCACCCAGGTGCCCCTGTAGTGGTTTTTTAAATTAATTTATTTGGAAAGACCAAGAGTGCAAGTGGAGAAGGGCAGAGACAGACAGAGAGAGAAAGAATCCCAAGCAGGTGCTGCACAGAGCCCGGTACAGGGCTTGATCTTACGAACTGAGAGCATGACCTAAGTCACCCAGGTGCCCCTAAGATGTAGTGTTCTCTTCAGTTATAAAAGTAGACAGTAAACCTCAACAGCCTTAAAATTGCCTGTAATTGGGCACCTGGGTGGCTCAACTGGTTAAGTGTCTGACTTTAGCTCAGGTCATGATCTTGCAGTTTGTGGATTCGAGCCCTGCATCAGGCTCCTTGCCATCAGCATGGAGCCTGCTTTAGAGCCTTTGTCCTCCTCTCTCTCTGCCCCTCCCCTGCTTGCACTTCCTTTCTCTCTCAAAAAATAAATTAAAGAAATGAAAAAAAAGGGAAAAAACCGCCCAAGCTTGCATTAACGGTAGAAATCACAAATATTTTCACATCTGATAGTTGTACCAACACACAGAAACGTTCCTCACGCATTAGTGTTACGATAACTGCAGACTTGCCTCTAGGTGCTGCTTTTTGGTGCCTCTGTGACAAGGAACATCAACACACATACTACAGCACACCTTTGCTGTATTTTCTAAGAATTTTGAGGATTGTCTTCCAATTGTGTTGATTTCCTTTGTAGTTCTATGTAATTTATCTTAAAATTGTTAAATATGCTAAGGAGGGAGCCAGGGGCTTTGCCAGACTGCCTGGAGGGTCTGTGGCACAGAAAATAGTGAGAAGCCCTGACTGGTAGTGTTCCTCAGTTGGCCTGCCTGTATCTACTTGTGAACCCTCTGCGCTGTTCCGGGCGCCCTGGAACAAAGAAAGGTCCCTAGGTGGAGAGTTCTCGCAGGCCTGGCTTCAGTCCTTGGTGGCAGCGGAGACTGAGACATGGGCTCCTTGAGACCTTGGAAACTGGTGGAATGTAGACAGGAAGGTGTCGTTGATGGTCCAGATGACGAACACTGTGATAGTGGAAGGACAGAGGGGACACAGAGCACTGGACTGTGCCTGGGGTGGGGGTGGGGGGATCCTGGAAGCCCTCCTGGGGGAGGAGGTATTCAAAATGAGAGGTGTATAGAAAGACTGCATAGGAGTCAGTCTATCATGAAAATGCCAACAAAGGACACAGAATGTTCTAAGCAGAGAGAAGGAAGTGTCAAAAGGTTTGGATGAAGGGCTGGGTGGTTGGAGAAGACCCCGCCCCCTAGAAAAGGAGGTAGATGTGGAGCACCAGTCATACTGTGTGAATGGCACAGGAGTGCCCCAAGAAATAAAGGCCCAGTGGAGCTGCGGTATGCAAGGGTGGACTGTGGCAGACTCCTTGCCAACACCTGGGGTCCTCCCAGTGTGGAGGACACCGGACACAGAAACCTGTGTTCTGCGCTGTGTGACCCTGCACAAGTTTCTTAGCCTTTCTGATCCCTAGTCTTTGCCTGGAGGAGTTCCTAGTCTCAGGTTGGTCTCCCTCATGAGGCTGTGGAGAGGATCAGATGAAGCCCTGCCCAGCATTCTGCTTTGAGGTGGCCCCAAATATCCATGGCCAAGCCCGTGCCCAAGCGGGTGGCAGCCCCTCCCCATGTCTAGTGTGTAATGGCACTTTCCTGCCTATTAGATGTCCCTGCTGGAGCTCAGGAGCCCACCATTCTGTTCTGTCTTTCCTGCCCCTCACAGATCATCGGGACTCTGGAGGAGGTCCACATGCCACAGAATGGGATCAATCACCCAGGTGTCACTGCTCTGGCCCAGGCTTTCGCCATCAACCCCTTGCTGCGGGTCATCAACCTGAATGACAACACCTTCACTGAGAAGGGCGCTGTGGCTATGGCCAAGGTGAGGCAGGAGCGGTAGGGTCAGAGAGCAGTAAGCAGGGTCTGGCTGCTGCCTTGTTTTGTTTTGTTTAGATTAGATTGATTTATTTATTATTTTCTTTTTTTAAATTTTTTTTTAATGTTTTATTTCTTTTTTGTTTTGTTTTTTGTTTTTTTTAATTTATTTCTAGGAGAGAGAGAGAGAGAGACAGCGTGAGCAGGGGAGGGTCAGAGAGAGGGAGTCACAGACTGAAACAGGCTCCAGGCTCTGAGCCGGCAGTCAGCACAGAGCCCGACGCGGGGCTCGAACCCACGAACCGCGAGATCATGACCTAAGCGAAAGTCGGACGCTTAACCGACTAAGCCACCCAGGCGCCCCTGTTTTATTTATTTCTAGGAGAGAGAGAGAGACAGCGTGAGCAGGGGAGGGTCAGAGAGAGAGGGAGTCACAGACTGAAACAGGCTCCAGGCTCTGAGCTGGCAGTCAGCACAGAGCCCGACGCGGGGCCCGAACCCACGAACCGCGAGATCATGACCTAAGCGAAAGTCGGACGCTTAACCGACTAAGCCACCCAGGCGCCCCTTATTTATTTATTTTGAGAGAGAGCAAGAGGGAGGGAGCAGGGGAGGAGCAGAGAAAGAGAGGGAGAGAAAGAATCTCCAGCAGGCTCTGCACAGAACCCAGTGTGGGGCTTGAGCCCATCAATCACAAGATCATGACCTGAGCTGAAACCAAGAGTTAGAAGTTTAACCAGCTGAGCCACCCACGTGCGTCTTGCCTGCTGCCTTTTTAATGCGTGTATTAGCAGCTCTGCCCACCCACCAGATGTGTACCTCGTGGGTACATTCCAGAACATTGCAGAACACGGCGTATGTCACAAGCTTGCCCGCACCCTCTTTGGGCAGCTCTGAGTGTCCATACTTCCTTCCTCCTGAGCTGCCTCTGTAAACCCAACTGTTGGTGCTGGATTTGTTCTCAGAGGTTGCATGGAAGGCTGCTCCAGCCTGACTGCTTTTCTCATTGATTCTTTCATCAGCTGTTTATCCAGCCCTGTCCAGTGCAGGCCATGCAGACTTGAGTTAGACTCTGCCCTCAAGGAGTCCCTAGTTCACAGACAGAGGGGAGTCGCCTGTGACAGCTCAGGGCCATGACTATGGGGGCTCACTGGGCCCTAAGACTCCACAGAAGCCTAGTCCTGCTGCTCTGGGGTGTTGGCAGAAACGTCTGCAAGTGTAGGGGAACGTGCAGGAAGTTCAAATCAGACTTAGGGCAGGCTTTCTGGAAGAAGTCACATTTTGGCCAAGTTGTATAAGACAAATGGACTTTGGACAAAGAGGGGTGTTTCAGGCAAAGGGATCAGCAGCATGGGAGAGGCCCAGAGATGGGAGGGGAGCTTTGTTCTATTGGTGCTGGTTTGAAACAACCAAGGTTCGGGATGTGTCAGGGTCAGTGGACAGGAGAGGGGGGCCAGGAACTCATGGCCTTGCTGATTCTGAGACTCTCCCATGAGCCATAGGCTCCCATAGGCAGCCATGTAGCATTTTAAGCTGGGGTGCAACTTGGTCAGATTTGTGCTTCAGGAAGGTTGTGGGTATAACAAAGAAGTGGAGTGGAGGGAGGTTAGCCAGAGGCCCGGGGGTGGGTGGGAGTGACAAGAGCTGGTGAGGTTCTGAGAAGGCCTGACCAAGTGGAGGCCGACACAGGGTGTGCCACTGGCCTCAGAGGGCTGCTGGGAGACCTGCACCCTCATCCTGGCCTTTGCTTCCTCCTCGCAGACGCTGAAGACCTTGCGGCAGGTGGAGGCGATCAACTTTGGGGACTGCCTGGTGCGTTCCAAGGGCGCTGTGGCCATCGCAGATGCAGTCCGTGGGGGCCTGCCCAAGCTGAAGGTGCCGGCGCCACCCATGTCTTCCCCCTTGGGTCTGGGCGTCCTCTGAACTCGGGGCTGGTGGGTGGTCAGGGGCAGGTGGGGGCTGTGGGTGGCAGGGGTATGGTCTTTAAGGCCAAGTGGGCCTGGGTTCATGGCTCAGCCCTGCCACTTCTCTCTCATTTTGTGCAATTCCCTTCACCTGTGTGATGTGAGCCCCAGTTTCTTCATTTTGGAAATGGGAGGAGAGAGTGGTGGAGGCCATCGCGGCATAGAGGAAGAGAGCACATCGAGCACCTGGCTAGCTAGCTGCCATTGTTGTTGTCGGGGTCCCTGTGCCCGGCTGGAGCACAGAGCCTTACCCTCCCTTGGGGAAAACAGGCTTCAGAGGAGGACCGGGTCTCCTGGCCCATGATTCTGCTGGCCTCTACTCCTTCCTCTTATTTTCAGGAGCTGAACTTGTCGTTCTGTGAAATCAAGAGAGATGCAGCTCTGGCTGTCGCAGAGGCCGTGGCAGACAAGGCCGAGCTGGAGAAGCTGGACCTCAATGGTAATGGGAGTGGTGGCCTTGGCCCAGGCCTGCCGGGTGGGCCCTGCTGCCCGTCCTGACGCTCTGTTCCTCCTCTCCGCGAGCAGGCAATGCGCTGGGAGAAGAAGGCTGCGAGCAGCTCCAGGAGGTGCTAGATGGCTTCAATATGGCCAAGGTGCTGGCCTCCCTCAGGTAGGGAGCTGTGGGCTGAGGTTCTACTTTTATTCACTGGGGAACCGTTGTTTGAGCCTCTGTATGGGCCAGATGCTGTACGAGGCATTAGGGTCACAAGGATAAGACCATGAAGGTTTTTGGGACTCGTGGGACTTCTACTGGTAGAACGGGTGGCCAAGAATAATCAGATAGTGTGTGTTCAGAGACAATAAGGGTCTGAGAGTGGTCACCCTTTGGAGTGGATGAGGTGGCGAGGCTCCTGAAGGGATGACCTTTGATCTGAGCTGACAGATACGGTAGAGTAACAGTGAGGTCAGGGCGGTGATGGGGGTGAGCTCAGGATTGTTCTTAGAATCAGACTTGGAGATGGAGTCCAAAAAGGAAGAGGCTGATGCCAGAGAGCAGGGAGTTCAGGGTTTGCGGAGCCCACGTGGAGCGGGAGCAGAGGTTGGGGCCGGGGAGGTGGGGCTGCCCCCTCCAGCTGGGTGGGAGTCGATTTGCGCCATCAGCACTGCTCCCTCTGCCCTTCTGGCCCCCAGGTCAGCTTCATTCGCCTGTCAGACCCTCACTTCTGTCCCCTCAGTTCTACGTATGTGCTGCTGCTAGAACTGGGGGCTCAGATGGCCTTGAGAGGCTCACAGTCCCAGAAGCCCCCATCCCCTCGCCCCCCATAGCCACGGGGCAGTGTGCAGTGAGATACAGCGTCTCAGCCTGGGCAGTGTTCCTGCCAAGCCCTGGGCCTCAGCTATGACGGACCGTTCTCTTCCTTTCCTCTGTCTCCCCAGTGGAGGACTAGGGGCCCGCTTGGGACAGGGTCGAGATGTGGCTCTTCCGTGTTCACAACAGGGGCTTCCCTGGGTGACGAGAGATGGATGATTGGCTCCCTGGTGACCCACGTGCCCCCACCCTAGGCGCAGCTGCGCCCCCATCCTCCGCAAGCCCCTTCCCGCCTGACTGGGGTCTGTGGGTTGTGGAGCCAGGCCTCGGAGCCAACATGGGCCGCTGGGCAGGGAGGGTCTGCTTTAGCCAGCTCCCCTCTGCAGTGATGATGAGGGGGAGGATGACGAGGAGGAGGAGGAGGAGGAAGAGGACGGAGAAGAGGAGGAGGAAGAAGAGGAGGAGGAAGAGGAGGAGGAAGAGGAGGAGGAGGAGGAAGAGCCGCAGCAAGAGCAAGGAGAGGAGTCATCCACACCATCAAGGAAGATTCTGGACCCAAACAGTGGAGTGAGTTTCTTGTTGTTTGGCAGGATCAGAGCCCTGGTTCTCAAATGTGAAGTCCTGGGACATCTTCTCAGGGGTGGTAGGTGTGGAATCCACTTAAGTACATTGGGTGCAAACTATTTTTGAATGCGCACCCCTGTAAGTAAAAAAAGAAAGTCATCCCAGTGTAGCTGTATTCATCCACATTTATATTTATCCCAGTACAGACGCGTCTGTTCACTTATGCATCATGACGTGATTATAGCATATATGACGCGGCTGTACTGTTTAGTATGAAACATATATAAATATCTCTGAAAGAATCGGGTAAAAAATAGGCGTAAATAGAAATTCTTTTCCTACCCATCTTGGTGACCCGCAGGGACAGCCCCCCCATTCTGGAGACTGGCCCAGCTTGAACACTTGGTGGCCCTTTGCCTCACCGAGAGGTTGGTGTGTCCTTTCCCTCGTGGGCTCCCAAGTAAAAACTCTGGAGAACCACAGGCTGGACAAGGACCCCACACTCATGTTGAATTTCACTTTTTTTCTAGTTTATGGAAGCATTTCAACAAGTGGCTAGGCACTTTTCAGTTTTCAGTTGTTCTCTGGGCACCTGGCTAGCAGTGTTTATCCGGGCTAGACTGCAGCGCCTGGCGGGGCCCACTTTAGCCCCCGCGCGCCTCTCCCGTCACTTCTGGGGCATCGTGTGTCTTGGCAAGGAGGCACTCGGCCTAAGGAGGTGGCTTGCCCCCGTCCTGGAGGCTCCCGTGCTAGGAGCCAGGGCCAGCGCCTGTGGGCCCCTCACCCTCTGGGGGCTGCACGTGAGTGGGAGGAAGAATCCGAGACTCTGAGCCTTGACCGCCTAGTGCGAGGGTTGCGTGTTCTGGGCGAGGAGTCTGGGTTTGGACCTCCGCAGAGCCACCTGTGCCGCCTGTCCCCCAGGAGCCGGCGCCCGTGCTGTCCTCCCCGCCTCCCGCAGACGTCTCTACTTTCCTGGCTTTCCCCTCCCCAGAGAAGCTGCTGCGCCTCGGGCCCAAGAGTTCCGTGCTGATAGCCCAGCAGGTAGGTGACCATGCTTCCACCTCCGAGCCGAGCGTGCCGTGGAGACAGGGAGAAGCAGAGCACGGGATTGGGAGGGGACGCTGTCAGTGGGAATGGGGACTGCCAGGTGTGCCTGTTTAAGTTTTATGTATGTAAGTGATTTTTATAATGCATGTGGGGCTCGAACCCACAACCCCGAGATCGAGTTGCATACCCTTCCAACTGAGCCAGCTAGCCACCCCCCCTTGTCTTTAAAATACACATGAGTGTGACCAGTGTATCTGTCAACCTCCGGAGGTTGCGGGTGACCCTGTCTCTGGAAACACACTGGGGCTGCAGGAGGGGCAGGGCTGCTGCACCTGTGACCCCTGGGCAGTTTTCCCAGCACTCTCATGTGCACACACCTGGGCTTCCCTCCTGTGTCCTCAGACAGCTGTCCTGCCCAGGGCTCCTGTGGAGGTCATGTGAGTAGTGTGCCCTTCCTCCGGCCTCGCTCGTTTGTCGGTTAGTTAGCTTATTCATTTGTCTGTTCGTTTATTCATTCACTGATTGCATCCTGAGGTGACCGTCCAGCGCCTCCTGTCTGCCCGACACTGTTCCAAGTCCTTAGATCTGGTTTAATTATTTAGCCCTCTGGCCATCCCACAACATAGACCCTGTTACCCTGGGCTACACATGAGAGAGCAGAGTGTGAGAGGGTTAAATGATGAATCCAGCGAAAATAAAATGTTTCCACTCTCAGAGCTAGCTTGGCGTTTTAGCTGATTTCCTTTTTTTTTAATGTGTATTTTTGAGAGAGAGAGTGTGAGAGACAGAGGGTCAGAGAGCAAGGGAGACACAGAATCTGAAGTAGGCTCCAGGCTCTGAGCTGTCAGCACAGCTCCCCCGACACAGGGCTTGAACTCACAAACTGCAAGACCATGACCTGAGCCAAAGTCGGACACTTAACCGACTGAGCCACCCAGGTGCCCCTTGATTTCCTTTTATGTTTTCTCTGTGCTCTTTTTTTTTTTTTTTTCCTTTCCCTGACAAATGAGATTAAAGGCCCACTTTTTCATGTAATCCCATTCGCCATCTCCTGTGTCAGGAGCCATGCTCACTGCCCCAGAGCCCACTCGGGCACTGTTTCTGGACATTCACATTGTTTCCACTTGTCTCCACCCCGGTGAAGTTAGGTGAAGTTAAGCTTCCTTGCATGTGAATGATGTCTAGCCTATATTCTGGATCATTTTGTTCAGGTTAGTTTACAAAAAGGGGAGCACTGGGTCACGGGAATAAGCCTTTGTAATGCTGATGCATCCTCTGTATACTTTGCATCCCTGCCATGGGCCAGCCTGTGCCTGGCTTGAAGGGGACAGTGTGGGGGTGAGGCTGTGTCTCACCAAGGCCTCTTCCAGCCTACAGCAGAGTGCAGGCACATCTTCCCTGGGGCTCTGGCCCCTGGTGACCAGCCATTGTCTCTTGTGTCCTCAGACTGACACATCCGACCCGGAAAAGGTGGTCTCTGCCTTCCTGAAGGTGTCATCTGTGTTTAAGGACGAAGCCACAGTGAGGACAGCAGTGCAAGATGCAGTAGGTAATGTGGGCTGGGCGGGGCATGGATGGCCCTGCCTCCTTGCTGCATCAGGGCTCAGATGACATTTACGGTGGCTGGAACCCCTTGTTCCAGTGCTCAAGTATGTACTGCTCTCTGCCCCCTCCTACCTGTTCTGTTAGATTCTTGCCATGGAGTAGGCTGGCTGCTCTCTCCGTTTTCTGCAGGTGGGGCAACTAAGGCCTTTCCAAAGCCATACAGTTACATACAGTTAGAACTCAGCCAGGCATCTGCTGTAGGAAGACCAGATAGCCCCGGCCCGTAGGCCTTATGGAAGCAGTCCTCTCAGAGGAGAGGCCATGAGACCTTGGCTTTTGTCCTCAACTGAGCCTCTGCACACAGTCGCCTCCATCCGGAAGCCTGGAGGATGCCTGCTCTCCCTGTTTCCTTCACGAGGCTTCCCAACACCTCTGGTTCTGTCATGACCCTCCCTCGCTGCCGCCTTCCCTGTTACCTCCATTATAGCACCTGTCCCCTTCCGCTTGACCACGCAAGTCTGAGCCCCACGGTGTGGTCAGGCTTGGTCAGGCAGACAGGGAAGGAAGGGCCCAGCATGTGAAAAGGAGTAGAGAGGAGTGGAGAAATGTGGTGCTTTCTCCTGGATTGGCGCCGTGTGGGTGGCACTGAGGCAGAGGGTCAGTGGGGAGCAAGGCTGGGTACCCTGGTGAGGCCCAGGGGGAGTCACTAAGTCTGCTCCCTGAGGCCCCAGCCCTGTGGGTGTTGACAGGGATTCTGTTTCCCAGAACAGCCTCGCATGGAAGTGTGTGCCGCACAGTGCCTGTAGACCCTCAGCCACTCCTTCTCCTCCCTTCTGTGCTCATTCCCTCTCACCTCTACAGAATGGCTGGGATCTCCCCCAGGGTGATCTGCCTCACTTAAACTTCCCCCCTCCCTGTCCCACCCTGGTTGTGCAAGGTCCCCAAGTCCTTTTGCAGTGTGTGAGGTCAGCATGAGAAGGACAAGGTTGAGCCCTTCCCCTGGCTGTCCCCTTGGCCTGGGACCGCAGTTTGCTACCCTGTGTTCACCTGATTAGTGCAGAAGACAGGACCCAGCCTACGTGTGCCGGAGCTGTGTGACCTTGGCTGGTGACCAGCCTATTTGCTGCTGCAAACTCCGTGCCCCATTGCTGCTTCTGTCTTGCAGATGCCTTGATGAAGAAGGCCTTCAGCTCATCCTCCTTCAACTCCAATGCCTTCCTCACCAGGCTCCTCATCCACATGGGTCTGCTCAAGGTGCAGCTGCAGGGGAGGGAGGGGGCTGTTCTGGCCACGCCTGCCCACCCACCCACCCTGTCCTACACCTTGAGTCCGTGGTGGGGAGGGGTTAGGGAGGTGGGGGGGGGGAGTCCTGTCCCTGGACTTGCTTAAACAGCCTTGCCTTGGTGATGGGATTCAGCTTGACCTTGGCCATGGGGCTCTCTGAGCAGGAGCTGGATGGTGGAGACCTAGAATACCCCAACCCCCTGGTGGCCCTGTAGCTCACTCACCTTGCTTTCTGTTGTGTGTTCCCCTTGCAGAGCGAAGACAAGGTCAAGGCCATTGGCAACTTGTATGGTCCTCTGATGGCATTGAACCACATGGTGCAGCAGGACTACTTCCCCAAGGCCCTTGCACCCCTGCTGCTGGCATTCATGACCAAGTGAGTGTGCCGTCGTGGGGTGGCTGGTTCCCACGTCTGCAGGCCCCTAGTCAGTGAGGCTTCCCTGGCCTTGTGAGAGACCCTCACGTGTCCTGGGCTCTCCGCATCCGCGTTTGAGTCTTTCCTCCCCTGTGCCAGGCTGAGGTCAGGAAGCTCGGGAACAGTGTCTTTTCCTGAGCGAGAATGTGGAATGGCCCCTATTTTCCAGATGAGGAAACAGCACGGGAGGGAAGGGGTTTGCCCCTGGTTGCCCTGGTACTGGAGGTACTGTACTCAGGAATGCCTCTGAGGGAAGTTCTGTGTCCACTCCCTCAGTTACAGGGCTGAGGCTGACGGGACCTGCCGCACCCATCTTCCACAGCCACAGACCCCTCCCTTGCAAATGCCAAATGCCCAGAGACCTAGAAACCTTGGCCTTGTCCTGGAGGAGGGTCCTGGTACCTGGTGGGGCAGTGGCCACAGTTGGGTAACAAGGAGCCTTCAGACCCCAGCACCCACAATGGATGAGTCAGAAGGCTCGTCCCCTGTTCTCACTGAGGTCTTGTGTGGCCCCAGCAGACCTCTGGCTTTTCTCAGGCCCCAGCAGACCTCTGGCTTTTCTCAGGCCTGTCTCCCTGTTTGCCCCACCAGGTCGTTGAATGAGGTGGCCTCTGGGGGCTCTGACCACCTACACTTTCTGTGAATCCAGTCCCTTGAATGGAAGTGGGAGTGGGACAGAGGAGAGAGACACCCGGGGCGGGGGGGTGACGTAAGTGTGGCTCATGCCATTGGGTAGTGCCTGGGATGTGTGAAGAAGTGTTGGGGGTGGTCTGGCTCAGGGCACGGTCAGGAGCACGGGCCGGCTTCCAGGACTGTCGCGCCATGGCCTCTGCCACCACGGCGTCTTGTGGTTCCGTGCGCACAACACTGCGTCCGTAGGCCTTACGCTCTGGCATGTCTGCCCAGCTGCCTGCATCCATGGCTGCCCCTCACCGCCGCCTCTGCCCAGGCCACCCACTCCGCTGCAGGTAGCCTGGCCTGTGAAAAGCAGAGCTGAGGGGCGCCCGGCTGGCTCAGTCGGTGGCACACACGATTCTTGATCTTGGGGTCGTTGAGTTTGATCCCCACGGGTGTGGAGCTTGAGTGCTCGGCCCCTCAGCGGAGTCCAGCGCGAGCTGTCACCCTGGCCACACATCTCATGGTCCTGCCTCCCCGGCATTTCATTCTCCCCATGCCTCGTCTCACAGCAGGGGGCGTCGCCTTGACCCCAGCTCTTAGCTCCCTGGAGCCCTTCCAGTCAGTGGCCCTAGTCCCTCCCTCCTCCCCCTCCAACACACACACACACACACACACACACACACCCTCCCCCCCCCCCCCAGCTCCTTTTGTTATAGTCAGCATTTTCCCTTTGGCCTTCTAGTACTCCGTGAGGGCATGGCCCCGTGAGAAGAGACCCTGTCCTTGTTGGTCTGTCGCAGGCTGCGTCCTTCAGCCGCTTGCCTACCCTCGTAGAGGCCTCAGTCTGTACCACTTTAAAAGAGGAGGATTTATAAAAGCTGTCCCTTAGACCTTCTTTGAGGGGACTGAGTGACCATGGAGTGACATGCACACCCTTCCTCCCTCAACTCCCGGCCAAATGGTGTAGGACCCCACGGCCACGCTAGACTAGGTACGGTGTCGTGGTGCGGGTCCTGGCTGCACCCCACGCTCGCCCAGCCGCCTGGATGTCTTGCCCCACTCTCCTCCTGTGTAGTGACTTTCATGATCTCGGTGGGGACAGTGGTCAGCCCATTACTTGTGAGGGCCCAGGTGGCACTGTAGTGGCTGTGAGGACGCCCTGGCCCTGTGCCCACTGGAAGGGCCCTGGGAGAGGCTGCCCGGTGGAGAGTGGAGGCCTGCGTCCCGGCCTAGTCTGGGCCCAGTGGCCTTGGGTGTGCGTCCGCCTCTCTGAACTTCACATGTGCCCCGCCCCCTGTGTGCAGAAGGCGGGGCTGACCTCTTCCTTGCTAAGTCGTCCTGAAAGTTAGAAAAATGGATCCTGACACGTTTCTAGCCTCAGAAACGGGCCCTGCTCCATAGTTGGGAAACTGGCCTCTGCGGCAGCCTGAACTCCCTGGGCCCCACCGGTGTGTGTCGTGCCCACCCACTGACCCTTTTTTCCCCACAGGCCCAACGGTGCCCTGGAGGCCTGCTCCTTTGCCCGCCACAACCTGCTGCAGACGCTGTACAAGGTGTAGGTGCGAAGCCGGCCTCTCCCCACCCCTTGGCCTGAACCAGTGACTTGGGAAGGGACTCAGATGAAGGACTCTGGCCAGAGGCAGGGAGGGTCTTTGTCGCGTGTGTCGTGTCGGTCCCTGAGTATGCGTGTCGGTGTGGTGAGTGTGCAGGTGTGTGCTTCCTGTCGGGGTTTGGGTTTTTAATGTCTCCCTGCTGGACTGTCCCTGGTCCCACTGGAGGGGAGCAGGCCCCCCGTGAAAGGGCTGAGCTGCTCTGCCATTAAACTCATTACCACCGGAGGGCGCTCTGCTGGTGCGCGCCTCCAGCTCGTGGCCCCCTCGGCTGTCCCCTCCCACCTTGCCTTTCTGTCCCTTCTGGGCTGTGCCAGAGCCTGGGGAGTTGCTGTCTGTGCGTCGTCCCCTCGTCCCCTCCCTCAGTGCCATGGCTGGGCTGCGCTTCATGCCCTGCCTGGGGCTGCTCACTCAGTGGCTGCCTTTGCTTCCTGTCACTAAGCGCTGGTTCTAAAGCCACTGCCTTCCCCAGCGTCCATCCCTGCCGCATTGACCTCTGCAGCCTGAGGGGCAGAGTCTGCTGCAGGTGTGGGGCCAGGGGCAGTCAGCAGAAGGCAAGGCCCAGCTTCCTGCGCCACGGGGACAGGAGGAAAAGCTAGTGGTGACACAGGGTGTCTAGGAGCAGAAGTCATGGGTAAATGGTGCTGGCTCCAGACCACGGCCCGCCCTCCCCGGGCAGCTGAGATGTCTGTGACTGGCCTGGGGGCCAAGCTGGAAGGGGCTCTTTGGCAGGCCCAACCCTGTTCTCTGGCCTGGGGGCGGGGGCAGGGCCCACTGAGCCTGAGCTGCGGCTTGGGTGCTCTTAAAGGACCTGGACAGGGTGGGGACTGGGCTGGAGCTGCCTCTGACGCTCTGTGCTTTTCCCTTTGTGCTCTTTGTGTGTCTGGGCTGTGCCCGGGGCTTCACAAATAAAGTCATATGTGGCAACTGTGGAGACTGAGAAGTCTTTCACCTTACATGGGCAGTTCTTGGGGTCCGCATGCCTGGAGCCCACCTGTCTGTACGGGGTTGTCGAACCCTGTGCCAACCTTGTCCCACGGGGCAGCCTTTCCTGCCCAGGCCCAGAAGGGGACAGCGACTCCTGGGGGCCCTGAATTGGGCTCATTTTCATCTGCTCAGCTCCATCTTACCCTTGACCTAGCCTTGGGGCTACTGATCCCTGCATCACTCCATTTATGGACATAAGCCCGACACCGTCCAGATTTTGCCACAACCCCCACACACCGCACTGTCAGGAACCCCTGAGTCTGCCTAGCAAGGTCACCTCACCGGGTTGAGCTTGGCTGGGAAGCCGCCTCAGGGTATCTGACCACAGGGCCTGGCATGGAGGGCACCTCCTTTGGGGGCCTTCCCTCCCTTTGCTACACGTGGTGTGAGGACAGCTAAGCAGACCCCTCCCTGGGGCCCTCAGAAGGCACACTTGGGGGGGGCACTCAGACAGCAGGCAGACTTGGGGAGCCTGTATCTCCCACAGGCTTGAAGAGGTCCCTCCAAGGTTTCTTAGGGGACGGTGCTTCCTTCTTGGCTGTGGACCACTCAGGCAACACCTTTGTTTTGTTTTTAGTTTTTTTTTTAGCATTTATTTAATTTTGAAAGATAGAGAAAGAGCAGGAGAAGGGCAGAGAGAGAGGGAGACACAGAATCCGAAGCAGACTCCAGGCTCCGAGCTGTCAGCACAGAGCCCGATGCGGGGCTTGAACTCACGACCTGCGAAATCATGACCTGAGCCAAAGTTGGCCGCTCAACCAACTGAGCCACCCAGGCGCCCCTGTTTTTCTTTTCTTAATATTTTGAGAGAGAGAGAGGGAGACACAGTCTGAACCAGGCTCCAGGCTCTGAGCTGTCAGAGCCCAGTGCAGGGCTTGAACCCATAAAGTGCAGGATTGTGACCTGGGCCAAAGTTGGCCGCCCAACCAAATGAGCCACCCAGGTGGCCCAGGCAACGTCTTTCTTGACCAGGTAGTGGAGGTGATGCCCATGCCTTGCCCTCCTATCCCCCACGTGAGGCAATACAGAAGAAGGCAGGTGGATGTCCAACTGACCCCCACCCCTTTGTTAGGCCCTGTTTTGAGCTCTGGGGCCACAGGCACAGCTTTTGGAGGGCCCCCACTCTGGTGTAGGAGACCAACAGTGGTGGCCCAGTGTCATAACGGTTGGCACTGAGGCCAGGGAAGTCTTCAAGAGTTAGGGATGCAAGAGCTGAGTCTTGAGATTCAAGCACAACTTCTCACGAGTGGTAAGAAGCTTAACAGATGGAGAGACTGAGTCAGGGCCTGGCTCTTCCCTCCAGGCTGCCTGGAGCTGGCCCTTGTTGCCTCCTAGGCCGTGTGTGTGCCAGCTTCGGTCTGAGAAGAGCCCCATAGATCTCACTTGGCCTGGCAGCAGGTGGCACTGCCTGGCTCCTGGGATCCACACACCAAGGAGGTTCCTGTGGTCCCAGGAGTGTAGGCCCAGCCCTACTCGGTCCTTCAGACCAGCTCTGAGGTTGGGACTCTGCTGCGTACTGAGAGCTGTGTAGCCTTTGGAATTTTCCCCCTGACTCTGACGCTCCCAAGAGCTACAGCCAGTCCTGAGATTACACAGGCTCCAGGTCCCTGAGCACCGTGACGGGATCTGTAAGGCCAGTGATGCCTCAGCCTAGACAAGTGCGTAACCCCCGCGTATGGAAGGCCCGCTTAGCACTGGGCTATTCTCACAAAAGGAGTTCAACCATGGGCTTGGGGCTAAACCAGCAGTGATTCCATTCTGAAGCTCAAACTAGAAAACCTCCAGGAAGCATGGCCATAGGTGTTCCCAAGCAGCACTCTGCCAGCAAGAACCTAGAAAGGACTCTGGCCAACATCAGGAAAATGGACAAATGCGAAGCTATACAGGGTAGCGTTGCACAGCCGAGAGAAAACGCATCACCTCTAGCTGCGTGCATGCCACGAATGAATCAGGATATTGAGTGAAGATCTTCAGTCATGTATGTGATAAACCCCACATTCAGGGTAAGGGGGTGTGGGGATGGCAGGGGCCAGGATGGGGTGGAAACCCAGCTAAACTGCGGTTGTCCACAACATTCAAAGTGCTCCCAATCCATCCATTTAACAGCCATAGTTTTTTTCAAGGAAGTAGAACACAAGAATATATAAAATTCTTTTTAAAATGTTTATATATTCTTTTTGAGAGAGAGTGAGCATGTGTACAAGCTGGGGAGGGGCAGAGAGAGAATCCCAAGCAGGCTCTACACTGTCAGTGCCGGTCCTGATGCGGGGCTTGATCTCCTGAATTGTGAGACAATGACCTGAGCCAAAATCAAGAGTCAGACACTTAACCGACTGAGCCACCAGGCCCCCCCAACACAAGAGCATTTTTTGACACGCCAAAAGCACAAGCCATGAGGAAATTTGCCTCTGTCAAAAAGTGAGTAACAACCAAAAATACCATAAGAATTGGCAAGGTGAGGGGCGCCTGGGTGGCTTAGTCGGTTAAGCGTCCGACTTTCGCTTGGGTCATGATCTCGCGGTTCGTGGGTTCGAGCCCCGCGTCGGGCTCTGTGCTGACTGTCAGCTCAGAGCCTGGAGCCTGTTTCAGAGTCTGTCGCTCCCTCTCTCTCTGACCCTCCCCTGCTCACGCTGTCTCTCTCTCTCTCCTAGAAATAAATAAAAAAAAAAAAAAAAAAAGAATTGGCAAGGTGATAGAGTACACAAAGACACTGTGACATATACCATAGGGTTAGTGTTGAGAATAATACATCCAATTGAAAAGAGTTCACAGGTGATGAAGCGTGAAAAGCAAACAATCTGTTCAACTTGACCAATAATCAAGGAAATGAAAACAAAACTACAGAGGCGCCATTTTGGGCCAGACTGGCAAATATCATGTAGAAGTGACACCAGGAAAGCAATGAATCTCCTACATTTTGTATGTTGCTGGAGGGATGTCAACCTGGTAAAACCACTTTAGAGAACAATTTGGCAGATACTACAAAAGGTATGTCTATGTAGGTCACTATGTCTAGCCTGTGACCTCAAATTCCATTTTTTTTAAAAATTTTTTTTAAATGTTTTATTTATTTCTAGGAGAGAGAGACAGCGTGAGCAGGGGAGGGTCAGAGAGAGAGGGAGTCACAGACTCTGAAACAGGCTCCAGGCTCTGAGCTGGCAGTCAGCACAGCCCGACGCGGGGCTCAAACCCACGAACCGCGAGATCATGACCTAAGCGAAAGTCGGACGCTTAACCGACTAAGCCACCCGGGCGCCCCCTCAAATTCCATTTCTAAGGATCTGCCTCAGAGAAAACATCATACATGTATGCAAGGTGACATGTTACAAGGGCGACTTTAAATAAAGGATTCCAGGAAATTAATAACCTAACTGTCCATCGGGAAAAGAATGGTTAATTACAGCATGTGCAGCAATGAGATCATCAGCAGGTAAGGGGCACCTGGCTGGCTCAGTCAGAAGAACATGTGACTCTTGGTCTCAGGGCTGTGAGTTCAAGCCCCATATTGGGTGTAGAGATCACTTAAATAAAAACTTTAAAAAAATGTTTTTTAATGTGCCACAGTGAATACACCAGATGCAGGACCTGTCTGCGTTCATGTGAATAAATGAATTTCACTGAGTGCAGAGCATGATGTGAGGCTCAAACTCATGAACCTTGAAATCATGATCTGATCCAAAGTCAGATGCTTAACCAACTGAGCCACCCAGGCACCTCTGTTTCATTATTATTAAGTAATCTCTACACCCAACATTGGGCTGGAACTTAGGACCCCAAGATCAAGAGGCACATGCCCCACTGACTGATATATATTCTAAAATAATTCAGATGGGCTCCTGCGTGGCTCAGTGGTTAAAGACCCAATTCTTGGTTTCAGCTCAGGTTCCTGGTTTGTAGGTTCAAGCCCCGTGTCGGGCTCTTTGCTGACAGTGTGGAGCCTGCTTGGGATTCTCTCTTTCTTCCTCTCAGCTCCTCCCCTAGTCATGCTTTCTCTAAATAAATAAACTAAAAAAATAATAACTCAGAATATGTAGAGTTTCCAGAAGTTAGTAAGACAAAAATGAACAAAAGGATTGAATGGGGACTTCACAAAGAAGCACATGAATATAGGTGCTTACTTTCATTAGTCTTCAGAGAAACGCTCATTAGCACATGATGCTATCTTACCCTGACTAGGATGGCTAAGGTACAAGACCATACCAAGCATTGGTGAGAATGTGGGGCAACGGAAGTCCCACACTGCTGGGGCAGTGTCAATCAGTACAAATACTTTGAGAAATTGTTTGGCAGTATCCACTGAAGCTAAAATAAACCTAAGCCCAGCAGTTCCACCTGTAGGTATATCCCACAGACGTGTCGTGCTGTGTTCTCCAAAAGACGCACAAACACGGGGAGCAGCACTCTTCATAATGGCCCCACCCTGGAAGCAACCCAAATGTCCATCAAGAGTGGAATGGATTAGGGGCACCTGGGTGGCTCAATTGGTTAAGTGTCCGACTTTGACTCAGGTCATAACCTCGCAGTTTGTGGGTTCGAGCCCCGCATCTGGCTCTGTGCTCACAGCTCAGAGCCTGGAGCCTGCTTTGGACTCTGTGTCTCCTTTCCTCTCTGCCCCTCCCCCACTCGTGCCCTCTCTCTTTCTCAAAAAATAAACATTAAAAAAAAAAGGTGGAGGTGAGAATCCTCCACCTAAGCAGGGAGGAATATTTTAGCATCAGTGTTGTTTAGAATCACCAACCAGCACATGATGACAATAAAAAGCAAACCAGTGGGTCTCATTGCATTTAAGCTCCCCACCAACAGCACACCCCCTTATTGCCTGCATCTGGGGCAGATGGCTCTCCTGCCTCTACCCCATGTCACTGCTGTGGACTATTTATGGAATGGAGTGCTGAAATGCTATGTAAAAATGAAAATAAACACATTCTTAAAATATGCATCACAGATGAATCCCACAAACAGAATGTTGAATGGAAAAAAACAGACCTAGAAGAGTTCACACTCAGTGATGCCACTGACGTGAAATTTGCTGAGTGAAATAAAGCGCATGCAGAAGTCTGTGTGGTGTGACACTATTTCTGGCTTAAAAACAAAACCCAAGCGAACTGAATAATGACAGATGCAAATCCACGAGAAGCATGGATCTGAACAATCACAGCATATATAGAAGTTTGCGGTGGTTTAGATGAACTTTGCAAAAGTGCCCAGGAAGGTAAGTATTCGGACACTGTTTTTGCAGTATTGTTTGTAACGAAGTTGGAGGCAACCAGAATCTCCAAGATTAATGGATAAGCAGTGTTGCCGCCTGTATACAATGGAATATTATACAACAGTTAAAACACGACTAAGAAGAATCAACCAGGATCACTCCTGATAATTTGACGTTGGGTGAAAAACAATTGCAGAAAATTGCCTGTACGGTGTTAAACAATGCATGTAAATGTGTACAACAGAAAGGACTGAGGTAACCATTCTTGAGCACCTACTATGTTTCAGGTGCCTTCCTGCCCCCTCACCCCCCCCATGGCAATCCTGTGAGCTACTTACTAATACTGTTTTTCACAGAGCAGGGAACTGAGGCTAGTGAGGGGTGGCTGGCCGGACCTCCCACAGCTGGGGGGGAGCCCAGGGCCCGGACCCACAGGCCAGCTGCTAGAGGCTCCCTGCCAGCCAGCGCGGGACCCCGCTGCCCAGGCTGGGCTCTCAGGCCGGGGCCACCATCCTGAGCCCTGAGCCGGCGCCGGGCAGGAGGCCCTGTAACTGCAGCCGCCGCTCCCGCCCCTGCCCCCCCCCCCCTTCACCTCAGCCTCCGGCTGGACTGCCCACAATGCCTCCCATTCAGCCCTGTCCCTGCTGCCAGGCCTGCGGGCCAGAGAGGGGGGCTCCCGCGGCATCCAGGCTGCCTGGCAGTGGGAGCCGGACGGCATGGAGGGGTGAGTCTTTGGGCCCTGGGGGCACACGGGTGTTTAGAGACGCTGAGGGGCTGCAGGCAAGCTCCTGGCCGTCTCTGGGCCTCAGGGGTTGGGGGACAGGGGCTCTGGGGTCTGCTGCGGGGGGCCGGGGGTGGGGGGAGATTCCCCAAGGGCGTCCCCGAAGCCGTTTCTGAGGAAGATGGTGAATGGCGTGTGGCTGCTCCGGCGAGCTCCCGTGTGGCTCGTCCTCCGGGCCTCGTCTGAGAGCTCAGCAGGCCTCTGAACCCTGGACACTTGTCCCCGGTCCGCCCGGAGCCGCAGCCTCACCCCAGGCTCTGGAGGATGTCCCCAGCCCCCGCCTTCTCGGAGACTGAACAACAGACGGTGACCAGCAGCGAGCAGAGCCGGGGAGGCTGAGGGTGGAGGCCGTGATGCGGGCTGAGAACAGAGGGAAGAGCTGGGCGAGTTAGGCGTTGCGGGCGTCGTGTGTTTATGGTCGGGGAGCCGAGGGGGACACTGGACAATTCGAGCACATTCCAGGTGGGCTCAGGAGTTAGGGTTTTCCACCAAAGGCCGTGTGGAGATGCTGGGAGGTTCTTAGTCGGTGGCATCAGGTCCCATCTGCATTTTGGAAAGTTCCCTTTGGTCGGTGCAGGACAGAGCATGGAGTGGGGGGGCCCAGGAGAGCCCCGGGGCACAGTCATCCCTAAGAAGGGACAGGCAGTGGGGGCAGTTGTGAGGCGAAGGGGTCCGCTGGGTAATGGGAGAAGTTAGGAGAAGATGGACGGTAAGGGGACAGAGCCGCCCAAAGCCCAGCCAAGCCCGTCTGTCCCCGCAGCTCCCCCACCCCAGTCCGGGCTGGTGCGGTAGCAAAGATGAGGGGACATCAGGGGTGTAGACAGAGGCCCGAGCCTTCTGCTCACCTGCCAGTGGGTCCTGACAGGCATTAAGGCCCCTCGAGGCTCTCAGACCCACCACCTGGTCCAAACCTGACCTTACAAACTCCGGCCCGCCTGGGGCCCGCCTGGCTGCCCGGCTGTCCCCTCACCGTGGGTGCCATTATGCTCCCTGCCACCACGGAACTGCCGCCACGTCTGTCTGATGCTTGTCTCTCTGCCACCCTCGCAGTGGGAGGCCCCGGCCTCCCCCCGGACCCGGAGCCTCACCACGGCCCGGCACACCCTCTGAGCCCTCAGCTCGTCGTCCTATTCAACAAGGACTCCAGGAGCCACGGGGCAGACAGATGGTCGAGGGGGCCTTTCTGAGCCTCAGTTTCCCCCAGTGTTAAGGCTAACAATGGAGCCTCTGCTGCGTGGGGCGTCATTAGGCTCAGTGACACCTTCCCTGAGGCAAAGGAGGGAGACATGTGAGGGGCTCTGGAAACAGCTGGGCTTGGGGAACGGACGGTGTGGGACGTCTGGCCCTGTGAACAACTGACTCCCCTCCCCCTCCCCCTCCCCTCCCCCTCCCAGGACTCAGAGCGTCTCCTTGGTGCTGCTGCTTCCCCTGCTGCTGCCACTGGGCCCAGCTTGGCACGCGGCTGCTCAACGCTGCCCGCAGACGTGTGTTTGCGACAATTCCAGGCGGCATGTTGCCTGTCGGCACCAGAACCTCACTGAGGTGCCAAACGTCATCCCCGAGGTCAGTGGGGGGGGGGGGGGAGGGAGGAGGAGGGAGGATGGCAGGGGGAGCCTGGGTTGGCACCAGTGGATCTGTCACTGCCTGACCGGGAGACCTTGGCAAGTCACTTTTCCTCTCCAAGCCTCAGTCTTCACGTCTGTAAAATGGGAGTAACAACCAACACTGTATTTTAAGTTAGACGATCTATTTTAAGTTCGACGATCTATTTTAAGTTCTGTGTGATTGGAACAAGTAGGCGACCTGTAAGAGAAATACCGAATTAACTACAAAGCTTGTGCGACAGAAGTGGAGTGAACAGGGGATATATGGGACTCAGATATGGGTTCTGCTCTGTGGAGTCAGGAGCTGGTGGAGAGGAGAGAAAGCATGTGGGCGGGCAATGGCAGTTCAATGTGAAAAGTGCCCAGGTGGTTAGGGAGGAAGGCTTCCTGGAGGAGGTGTCAGGGAGCAGGATGAAGAGAATGAGGGAAGGGTGTCGGGGAGGGGAGTGTCCAGGTGAGGGAACAGTGCGTGCCAAGGCCAAGGCTGGCAAGGGGCGCAGGCCCTAGTCCTCATGTCGCTCAGCCTCCCCCCTACTCCTCCCCGCTCAGCTGACTCAGCGCCTGGACCTCCAAGGCAACATGCTGAGGGTGATCCCCCCGGCTGCGTTCCGGGAGCTGCCTTACCTGACCCATCTGGACCTGCGGCACTGCCAGGTGGAGCAGGTGGCCGAGGGCGCCTTCCGGGGCCTGGGCCGCCTGCTCCTCCTCAACCTGGCCTCCAACCGCCTGCGCTCGCTGCCCCAGGAAGCCCTGGACGGGCTGGGCTCACTGCAGCGGCTGGAGCTGGAGGGGAACATGCTGGAGGAGCTGCGGCCGGGGACGTTCGGGGCCCTGGGGGCGCTGGCCACCCTGAACCTGGCCCACAACGCCCTCGTCTACCTGCCGGCCATGGCCTTCCAGGGGCTGACGCGCGCCCGCTGGCTGCAGCTGGCCCACAACGCGCTCAGCGTGCTGGCCCCCGAGGCCCTGGCCGGCCTGCCCGCCCTGCGCCGGCTCAGCCTGCACCACAACGAGCTGCAGGCCCTGCCGGGGGCCGCCTTGGCCCAGGCCCGCGCCCTGGCCCGCCTCGAACTGGGCCACAACCCCTTCACCTACGTGGGCGAGGAGGACGGGCTGGCGCTGCCGGGCCTCCGCGAGCTGGCGCTGGACCACGGCGCCCTGCAGGCGCTGGAGCCCAGGGCCTTCGCGCGCTGCCCGCGCCTGCACACGCTGGACCTCCGGGGGAACCAGCTGGCCGGCCTGCGCCCCCTGCAGGGCCCCGGGCAGCTGCGCCGGCTGAGGCTGCAGGGGAACCCTCTGTGGTGCGGCTGCCGGGCCCGGCCGCTGCTCGAGTGGCTGGCGCGGGCGCGGGTGCGCTCGGACGGCGCGTGCACGGGCCCCCGGCGCCTCCGAGGCGAGGCCCTGGACGCCCTGAGGCCCTCAGACCTGCGCTGCGCGGGAGGCAGGCCGGAGGCCGAGGAGGAGGCGGAGGAGGAGGAGCGGCGGCGGGCGGCTGCGCGGCCCCGCGGCCCCGCGGGCGCCCCCGGGGAGGCCGACGGCGCGGCCGGGCCCTGCCCGCGGGCCTGCGCGTGCGTCCCCGAGTCCCGGCACAGCGGCTGCGAGGGCCGAGGCCTGCAGGCCGTGCCCCGCGGCTTCCCCGGCGACACGCAGCTCCTGGACCTGAGGCGGAACCACTTCCCCGTGCTGCCCCGCGCGGCCTTCCCGGGCCTGGGCCGCCTCGTGTCGCTGCACCTGCAGCACTGCGGCATCGCGGAGCTGCAGGCGGGCGCCCTGGCGGGGCTGGGCGGCCTCCTCTACCTCTACCTCTCCGACAACCGGCTCTCGGGCCTCAGCGCCGCTGCCTTCGAGGGCGCCCCCCGCCTCGGCTACCTGTACCTGGAGCGCAACCGCTTCGGGCAAGTGCCCGGGGCCGCCCTGCGCGCCCTGCCCAGCCTCTTCTCGCTGCACCTGCAGGGCAACGGCCTGGGCGGCCTGGAACCCGGGGACCTGGCAGGCCTGCAGGCCTTGCGCTGGCTCTACCTGAGCAGCAACCGCATCGCCCGGGTGGCCCCTGGGGCGCTGGGCCCCGCTCGCGAGCTGGAGAAGCTGCACCTGGACAGGAACCGACTGCAGGAGGTGCCCACTGGCGCCTTGGAGGGGCTGCCTGCCCTCCTGGAGCTGCAGCTCTCGGGGAACCCGCTTGAAGCCCTGCCGGATGGGGCCTTCCGGCCTGTGGGCGCCTCGCTGCGGCACCTCTTCCTGAACAGCAGTGGCCTGGAGCAGGTGGGCACAGGGCTACCCGGGTGGGGGTGGGCCACTAACAAACAATGCTGCCCCCACAGTGCCAGGCCCGGGGGTGCAGGCCCGGTGACCCTGAGATAAGCGGACACTACGCCGCTTCCCCCCGCCGGGAGCTCGGGTGTAGTGACAGACCAGGCAGATTTCGGTGCCACACAGCCTGCCAGGGAGGGGACTGCCCGAGCAAGGAGGGAGGAGGAACGTGGGTCCGAGCGGTTGTTGTGCCCTTTGAGGGGAGGGCTGGAGCCACCAGGAGGATTTGCCCTTAGCAGGGTGTGTTCAGGCAGAGCAGAAAGAACCATGAACTGGGCCTCTGGGTGACGTGCAAAGGGCCAGTGCTTTGGGATCTCCACCCCAGCACGGCCCTTTCTGCCTGGGCCACCTTGGGTTCTCCATGTTTTCTCTGCGGGGGGAGCATGGGGCTACCTCCTGGGCCTCGGGGTGAGGCGGGCCTGGCAGGAGCTCATACTAAGGCCTGGCATCTCCTTGCAGATTTCTCCAGGGGCCTTTGCGGGCCTGGGGCCCGGGCTCCAGAGCCTCTACCTGCAGAAGAACCAGCTGCAGGCCGTGCCGGCCCTGCCCCATCTCAGCCAGCTAGAGCTCATCGACCTTAGCGGCAACCCCTTCCACTGTGACTGCCAGCTGCTCCCCCTGCACAGGTGAGCCCCCCGCCCGCACACCCACCGGCAGCTCTCAGTCGGGCCCCCGGCCTCTGCCCGGGCCACCATGTCTGTGCCAGCTAGCAGCTTCCAAGGGGACGGTGGTGCCAGAGCCATCAGTGCCTGAGGCTTGGGGTGGACTTGTCTGGGGCCGGATTCCCTCCTCAACAGTGTGGGAATGAAATCCAGCCAGCCTAGTGGGTGGAACCTGACAAACACCTGTGGGCAGGTCACTAACCTCACCGGAGAGCAAAAGGAACTCAAATCCTTCTCCGCGATTGACTTTGGGCCCCGTGACTGCTCTGTGCCATTCCCTCACCCCTGAAGGGGATGACAGGAACCGTGTCCGCCTCAGAGGGGTTCTTTGTAAGGATTACATTGTTGAGGCGCCTGGGGGGCTCAGCCGGTTAAGTGTCTGACTTTGGCTCAGGTCATGATCTCGTGGTTCATGAGTTCAAGCCCTGCGTCGGGCTCTGTGCTGACAGCTCAGAGCCTGGAGCCTATTTCAGATTCTGTGTCTCCCTCTCTCTCTCCCTGGGCCTCCCCGACTCGTGCTCTCTCTCTCTCAAAAATAAACATTAAAAAAAAATTTTTTTTTAAAGGGCTACCTCGTCAGCTAGCATATATAGGTTGATTTGAACAGTGTCTGGAGCACCCTAATTATTACTATTACTATCCCCTTTTTACAGAGAAGGGATCTGAGGTTTGAAGTGACTCGCTCTGGGTCCCCTAATCAGTGACGGGCTGGGGCAGGATTCCCTCCAGAGTCCACCCTCACCGCCAGGTCCTCAGGACCTCCTTGGCCTCCTCAGGAAGGGCTCGGCACAGTGGGCACCCTAACTCTCTCCTCTCCTCAGGTGGCTCACTGGGCTGAACCTGCGGGTGGGGGCCACGTGTGCCAGCCCTCCCAGTGCCCGCGGCCAGAGGGTGAAGGCTGCGACGGCTGTCTTTGAAACCTGCCCGGGCTGGGCTGCCAGGAAGGCCAAGCGGACGCCGGCCACCAGGCCCAGCGCCAGGAGCAGCCCCAGGACGGGGAGACGGAGGAGAGCAGACAAGGTTGGCGGGTTGACGGGAGGCCTCGGCTGGGTGGGTCAGGTTCCAAAGCCCCCAGGGTAGCAGGGGTCTGACTTCTCTTGGTCCTAATTCATGTGGTTCCAGACCTGGGCAAAAACTCTGCTGTTTCCATTCATTTCCATTCAGTCATGTCTGTCCCCGAGCCTCAGCTGCCCCCCCCCCCGCCCTCCCCCCGCCACCCGGTGGGCCAGGTGGGTTTGTAAGGAAACGACGACACTGGTTCATCCTGTGTGTGGGACACTGGCCTTTCCGCTAAGCCACAGAATACCTACCCCAATCTGTTTCTAAAAGTAATGCCACTGTCACCATATTTGCTGGATCATCGTCGATCCCAGTTTTCTGACCTCAAGGTCACCCCTGGGCCAGAAGGAGCAGGAGCGCAGGTGCTGTCGCGGCCTCCCCCTGCTCGGCAGCCGTGAGCCGGACCCCGCTTGGTGTCGTTCTGTCACCCGCCTGACATTTATGCTCGCATCCTCAAGCCCTTGGTTGTAGCCAAGTTGTGCGGCACGTCGGAGAACAGGGAGCAGGATCCGGGTGCCCTTGCCCGTGGGGACCGCTGCTGTGTGGTCAGGGTGCGGCAGGGCCGCTAGGGGAGAGGCTGGTCCTAAGAGGGACAATGAGAACAGAAAAGTGGGTCCTGGTGAGATGAAGGCTCAGCCTCTGGACCTGCGCTGGGAAGACTTGGGGTGCCTGGGGACCATTAGAAGGTATATTAGTTCCCAGGGGGTGCTGTAAAAAAGTACCGCACACTGGGTGGCTTAGGACAAGACATTTTTGTCTGTTTTGGGGGTTCTTAGTCCAAGAGGAGAGTGTCGTTGGCGGGGCTGTGCTCCCTCTGAAGACTGCAGGGGAGGTCCCTCTGTCCGTCCCCCTCGCAGCCTCTGGTAGCCCCGGATGTCCCCTGGCAGCACAGTGCAGCTATACGACATCCCTCCCCCATCCCTTTCACATCCTCCTGCTAGATTCCAGTCCACTTCCCCCTTTTCATAAGGCAGGAATCCTACTGGATTAGGACCCACCCTAATGACCTTGTTCTATCTTGATTACCTCTGTGAAGACCCTATTTCTAAGTAAGGTCTCACTCTGATGTACATCTTTTGCAGGGGGGGCGGGGGACATAATTCATTAGTGCTCCTTGTGAGCTAGGCTGGGAGGAAGGAACCCCTAAAAAAACCCCAAGCTGAAGGTGAGCTATGGTGACTTGGAGATCAGATCTGGAATTAGCGTTGACAGTGGCATTAATCTCAGCTGACACTTGCGTGGCGCTGACTTCCTGCTAAGGTCAGCATCGGTGCTCCCTCCCTGCGGCAGCCCGGCAGCCCGGGGGTGGGGGTGGGGGTGCGGAGCGCGAGAGAGGCCGAGCTTGGCTCTGCCGGGTCCAGCTGCAGGCCCGGGCTTTAGTGAGAAGGGGAGACTCTGCAGTCCTGACTCCCTGTCCCCGCATCCCGGCTGTGGCAGGAATTGATACACCTGAGACTGTCCCATTCCTCCACCCTTTCCGACGCGGAGATAGGCCACCAAATGCTAGCCCTGGGGTTACATAGGTCTTTCATTTTTATTTTGTTTAAAGAGGCAGTTTCCCTCCAGGAATACAAAGGGATTAAAAGGGCCCTGGGGTGCTTGGCTGGCTCAGGTGGTAGAAGATGGGATTCTTTACCTCATTTCTATGTTGGGTGTGGAGCCTACTTAAAAAAAGGGGGAGGTGGTGGGAAGAGAAGGCCCCTGACCTCAAGGGTCACACAGGGCCCTGAGCCCTGTTCTATGCTGGGCGCGTTCACCTTGCTGATGGCCACGGCTGGACCGTGCATGCCTCGCTATCTTTCGAGGCCCCAAACTCTAGCGTGATGTCTGGCATGTGGAAGACGCTTCAGAAGAGATGCTGAATGAATGCATGAATGAATGAGGACCGGCTGTAACACAGCAGACCACCCTGGATTTAATCCCGCCGCTGTCATTTTACTGTTGTGAATTTGAGCAACCAAGTTACTGTGATAACCCCAGGGCCCCTGTGAAGACGCGCGAAGCTGTGGAAACGTGCCTAAACCGGCGCCTGAGGGCTGTAATCCGCAGTTCCGTTGCTGCCCCCACCCGTCAAGCAGAGCTGTGTCTAGACTGGGCGACAGTAAAGGGGGTGCGTGCGTCTGCACCTGGGCTAGTCCGCAGCACAGGGCGGGGAAGGGGTGCTTTAGGAGGACCTCCCAGCCAGCAGCCCCCCCCACCCCCCCGCACTGGACTCCAAGTCCACCAGTTCTCCCCAAGGGCAACTGAGGTGCAAAGCTGGCCCTGTGCCCGGAGTGAAAACATCCCGGAAGCCAACACCTCCGACCGGGACGGACGAGCTCGATCTTTAGGCCCCAGCAACACGGGTCACGTGCATTCTGGCATCACACCCTCACTGGGGCTAACTCAGCACCAGGCCATGGGGCAGACGAGGCACAGGCCGGGCCTCTGGGGACTCTTGCAGGAGAGGAGTGGCAGAAATGTAAGGAAGGAGCACCAGCGTGTGGTTGCTATGGAGACGGGGCGTTCAAAAGATGACAGGCAACATTTATTCATCGTCCTCCTGTGTGAAGCCAGCCTGCGTAACTGACACCGGGAGGTGCCATATCACAACACACTCGGCTCTAAGAAAGATGACAAAGGACCTCAGGAGGGCCGGGCGGCCAGTCAAGGGCTGGGACGGCAGCCAGACTCGTCCTCGGCCCCTGCCGTCCTTATCGGGACACGTGTAGGCATCACTTCATCCAGGAAGAAGGAGCTAAAGGCCGCAATCCCATATGGTCCAGTTTTCCCAGAAGCTCCAGTCAGACTGGACCCCCAAACTCAGGGGGTTTGGGGGTGAGCCCGCTTCTGCCAGGACCAGGACCACGGGCACACGGCAGGGCCCAAGTGCGTATCCTGGCTGCCTTCCTCCCTGGGGACTAAGGCCACGGAGCCATCACTGCCCGGGTCTGTGGTGTGAGTAAAGCAGGGGAGGGCATGGCCCCTCTGTCCTTCATCTTCACTGGGTCCCAAATCTAGTCACTTCCTGGGGAATGCGGGTTGCACCGAAAGGCTGCATTCTGGGCCTGGTTTCTACACCAGGTGGGGCTTCCTAGTGCCTTTAGCAAAAGAGTCAGGATCAAATTCTCTGGAAGAAATGACTGAAAATCAGCTCCACTTGGGCTGGTCACCCCACCTCTGGGGAACCCCAAACAGCCCAGGCCCTGAGCAAACACACGGCCAGCACCCCACCCAGCAAGCCCAGTCTCTCCCTGTTAACTGGGGAGAAGTGGGGTGAAAAGGACAGGCCCCAGCCCAGCCGGGCTCAGAGCAGGTTATGCACAGCTCTGGTGGCTGCCTCCCTTCCAGCTGTGGCCTCCCCGCCACCTCTGCAGCCCCTCCCCTTCCCAGGTCCCTGCCTGCCCCCTGCCGGGGGAGCAGGCTCCACCCCTACACTGTTCCATTTAGGAAACCGGAGTCAGTACTCATGCCAGCAGCAAAAACAGGCCAAGGCCACCCCACCAGCCACTGAAACTTGCATCCTGGTCACTGCCTCTTAGCTGCCAGGGCTGGGTGCCTGCATGGGGCTCCCCGACCTCCCTAGGGTGCTAGGAGGAGCCAGGTGCCAACCCCAGAGGCTAGAGGCTGCTTCACGTGGCTGCTTCTCAGGCACCCGCACCACCCACCACCACCCTGCCACAGCCTCCCCCTCAGAGAGCTGCTCCGAGCCTTTATTACAGGACTTGCTCAGACACACACATGCACCCTTCACTGACTTGTCCTCCAGTGTGACGGGGGCAGCCCCCGTACCCTGGCAGCTGAGGGGTGTGGTGGGTGTGTGTGGGGGGGGGGTTACTGTGAGAGCTTCGGGAACTCTAGCTGGAGGAGACGCTCAGAGACAAACGTGCAGGCCTCAGGCAGTGCCAGTCAGGAGGATCCAGGTCCTTGGGGGCCCGGCCTTCACGGCACATGGCAGAACTTATGCAAAGAAGGCTCATTCTCCCAACTAAAGTGGGGTGAGGGGCGGTGGCAACAGAGAAGCCCCGGGCTGGCAGTGGGGAAGGCTCAGTCGTCTGTCTCCTGTTTGATGTTCTCGATGGGAACAGGCAGCTCTGGACTCGGGGCTTTGTCAGCTGTGGCCATGTCTAGATGCTCTTCCTTCACACGCACAGCAATGACTAAAGAGGAAGGGAGGTGGGGAGGGCGGGGAGAACACAGTGAGTGTGTGTGCAACGCCGGAAGGGCAGGGGGCTCAGGCTCTGGCTCCCTGTGAAGGGGGGCCCTCAGGATGTGGCGGGGAGGCGGGAATGGCGCCTTCCCCCTGCGGGGCGGGCTGCAGAGATGGAGAGGCTGGAGGTGTGCGGCTCCGTTCAGAGTCGGGGGTGGGTGTTTGGGAAGCTCTCCAGGCCCAGTTGTCCAAGAAGGACTGCTTGGTGCCCAGAGAAGTCCCTTCACACTTGACTCTCCTCTTCTGTGCCCAGGTGGGGAAGGAGAAGGGCCGCCTCTGAGCACCGGTGCAGGCCGGCCCTGCCGGGACCCCGCCCGGGAGGCTCTTACTCTCTTCAGGAACCGCCTCCGACGAGCTCTTCTCAGCGGCCTGCGGGTCGTCCTCCAGCAGGGGCTTCTTGGACCCCTGTCTGAGGGGCCGGGTCTTGGTCGGTGGTATTCTTTTCCCTTTGAATAAAAACCGAATTAAACCCAGCACAAGGCAGCATCCACATGCGGCTTGAAGGCTGGGTGTCAGCCAGCGGTGAGCAGGGGCGGTGGCACCTGGGGGAACCGAGGGCCCGAACGCCAACGTCGCCCCTCAGGGCTGTGCGCCCGAAGCCCGGAGAGGTGGTCTCCAGTGGGGGGTCACCACCACCCGTCCTGCTTGCGGGGCCTTCCTTCCCTCTTCCGGTCCCTCCTTTCTCCACCTGTGAGGGGACTTTCCCAGGCCCACTCTCGTGAACAGTACAGGGTCTTCCCACGTGATCAACCCCAAACCCTCACGTGACCTTAATCCTGACCCCGTCTGTTTCCTCCTCCTCCTGTTTCTGGACAGTGTCTTCTGTGTACATTGTGGAGAGGACCTCACGCCACACGCCCACAGCTCAGGAGGATGGCTTCACCTCTCCTCCCTGCCCCTCTCCACCTGCGGCCCCTCCAGTGGAGCCCACACAGGGCTCAGGATCTGTTAAGAGTGGGGCCCCGCCTCTGGAAATGACACCAAGTTCAGTGGCTGCCCCTCGCGGTCATCCCTGGGCGTCACAAGTGAAGAAGGACAGGCTTGGGGAGAAACTGCCACCATAACTCGTACTTTCAAACAGCCGATGGGGTCGTGGTGACTCTGACCACAGGGCAGCAGAGACTGGGATCCCTCCCCCTTTTCCCGCTTATAATTACAATCTCTTGCCTTTTTTCCTCGCCATCCTGACCACTGCCAGAGACCGACGACTCCCTATTTGTCCTCGGGTCCCTTAAGACATGGGCTGACAGGCATGTTGGGGCCAAAGGGCAAAGAAGAGGAGACGGAGGGAGCGAGAGGAGCGCTACCTAAGGGGGGACCCCGCTCCGCATCCGGGGACACAGGCCCAGCCGGCCCCAGGCCGCACACCAGCCCCGGCTGCTTGAGTGCAGCACTTACTTTTCTTCCCAAACTGTTTCTTTTTCTTCTTCGTAGCCTCTTTGGCCTTCAGAGGTGTGCTCGGCTCTGTTGTTGAAAGATGAGGGTAAGAGGTAAGAAGAGAGCTCTAAGAGAACGAGGTACAGGCTCATCCCAAGACCCCCTGGCCACCCTCACTAGCCTCCCCCACACACGGGACACCCCAAGAAGGAAAGCCAGAGTTGGGCAATGAGAATGGGGGAGGGAGGCCGAGGGGAGGGACTGGAGAGCAGCTGTCCCTTCTTCCCACCCTCGTCACCAGGGCTGCTCCGAGGGACCTGGGCGGTTTACCTGGGTGCACAAAGGCACGAGCATATGACAGAGTGGGCAAGATCAAGGAAGGCGCTCTGCAGGCCAGAGGGAGAGGGAGACAGAGCAGTCAGGAGCAGGAGGAGGGGACACAAGGGCCACTCTTGACTTGGAAGTGGTCCAGGAGACTTCTTGATCTCATGCCACAGAATGAGGTAGGCATGGGGCAGGGGGAGTGGTTGGCAGGAAGGAAAAAGGAAAGCAAAGTCAAGAGTCTCTTGGGGCTGCGAGAGCCCAGACCTGCGGCCACGGGCGGCTGGAGCTGGTAGCCGGTGAGCTCACACCAGCCGACGGGGTAGATGTCCGGGGACTCACAGTCCACCCACTGGTCGTACTCGCTGTCCCAGCCGTCAAAGTGGATGCTGAGGAGCCTGTGCACCACCCGCTTCACTGTGGCCACGCAGATGAGGCGGGGTTCCATCAGGTCCACGGCCTCCAGCTTCATGCCCACCTTGAAGCCGTGGTTGGGGCAGTCCTGGGGGGGGACGAAGCAGTGACCACGGCGGCCAGCTCCCTGCCCCAGGGGGGGCACAACTGGGGAGAGGCAATGGGCTGGGCGTGCCTGTGGGGGAGGGTCCCTTGACAGTCATGCAGCTGCCTCTGCTCCCAAGCACCAGCCCCTCTGGGAAAGGGACCGGCTCGAGTGTGCGGCAGCATGCCTACAGCAGTCTGGGACTTCTCCCCGGAAGTGGCTGGTCTCCGGTACTGACTCAAGGGAAGAGAAGGGGGTTGGAACGAACTATCCTGACAGTAGGCAGGGCCGCCCCAGGCCCCATGCTTTCTCAATCTCCTCACCATGTTAAAGAGTCTCGATGGAGCTGCTTTTGACTTGGTCTTCTCCAAGTAGGTGTCCCAGCTGAAGGTGTGTGACTCGTAGCCTGGAGAAGCAGACAGTGCAGACGTGGAGGAGAGGAGGGGAGGCAGGAGGGAGTCCAGAAAAGGAGCACATGCCAAAGGGCACCTGCAGCTGGATCAGGACCCAGCCAGGAGTCTCCCCAGCAGCCTTCTTCTCTCCTTCCCAGGCTGGTGCCTGCTCTAGGACTATGGTCCTGTTGTACAGGTTGTACTGCCCAAAGGAATAGGCTGGAGCTCTGCTCGCCAAGCCACACATTAGTCATGAAGCCCGGTCAGCCCAGTGTAAGGGCTGGTGGTGTTGGCCTTGGGTGGCTCAGACACTTCCAATCCACTTAGACTCCACACCCCAGGGTCTGGCTTGGCCAGGAATCTGGACCTGTGGCCACACTCTGCCCTTTCTGACTGTAAGGCCAGTCTTACCTTTAGGTGGTGTGAGCTCAATGTCATTCTTTTGGCAGAAGGTAGCTGGGAAGATAGCGTGGGAGGAGGCATGGTAACAGAACCAGTCTGAGCCATCCGTGGAGGGCCCCCCATCCACACAGATCATGAGGTAGCCATCCAGGAGAACCTAGCAGGTGGGGTGGGGAGAAGGCAGACACCATGGTATCATCAACTGTACCCCCCCATCCGAAGGAAAGGCAGCTAGAGAGCCGATGGATCAGCTCTGTATGCGGAGAGCTAGATCTCAGCTTCTCCGAGCTTCTGCTTCAGAGCACTCAGCGCCCCTGGAACCCATATGTATGACATTATTTACCTTCCTCACTGGACAGCAACTGCTGTTCCCGCAGGGACTACATCTGTCTCTTTGCCAGTGTTTTCCATGGTGAGCACACGGGCCCAGCCTGGAGAAGACTGGCTGGACAAATCAGCATGTCCCCAGGGGCCATTCACTCCTCAGGCCGCAGCAATAACGTACGGTGCACAGCACAGTCAGCCCGGCTATGGCTACAGCCAGGCCAGCCCTCCAGGGAGAGGACACGTGGCAGTGGAAAGGCCTCCAGGGGGGCTGGCAGGGTGGGGCCTACATCTGACACAGGGCCAGGCTCAGGCCAGGTGTCCCGGAAGTACCTGTCCAAAGTGCCTCGGACCCTACACGAAGGCAGAGTTTGAGCAAGGAGCAGATAGGTCCCCTACTCACAGAAGTCCAGTGCTCTAGGAGCAGCCGGAGCGGGAAAGGTGTGCAGAGCTCGGCGCTGCCTCGATGGCTTCAGAAAGCCACACTAGAGGCTGCAGGGTCAGGCCCAGGCTCACCTTGCAGATGGTTGCCACGCAGATGTTGCCCAGATTCAGGGGGTCGATGGCTTCCAGTTTCATCCCCTCCTCAAACCAACCGCCTTCCGTGTAGACAGCTCGAACCTTAAAGGAACGGGACAGCTAGGGAATCTCTGGGCAGCCCAGGGGGAGGGTGGGGGAGCAGGCCTCACCTGCTATAGGCTTGGGAGGGAGACGGGGAAGGAAAGGAACATCCCAGGGTCCCAAGGCCTGGAATTGACCTGTGGCCAAGATGAAAAGTGTCCAAAGGCTGTGCCTCACCTTCTTGAACAGGTAAGGAACAGCATCACAGTAGATTTTCCGGAAGGTGGGATGGTGGGCCATGTCACTGCGCCTCTCTTGGGGAGATGGCAGGGGGAGGCAAGGGAGAGAAGTTGAGTTGGAAGCTGCTAACAGGGCCACCTCCATACTACTCCCAGAAATGGCGGGATTGCCCTGTATCTTAACACCTCCTACCTGCCTCCCCCGACCCCAGACCAGAAGACAGGAAACATCAGGAGCTCCCTGTAGGGAGATCTGAACCCTTCAGATCCAGATGCCTTCCACATCACATGGGAGAGGATGGGGTCTGCAGCTAGGTGCAAATTGATCTTACCACTTACAAGCTGAGGGACCTTGGTCAAATAACCCAACCTCTCTGGACCTTGTTATCACCATCCACATGGTGGAGATAGTCACCTCTACCACAGAAGATTGTTGTGGGGTACAGAGATGCTCCCACCTAGGCCCTGGAGCAGCAGAACCTGGGGTCACACTGGCCCGGGGCTCTGCTAACCTGAAAGCTTGATGCCATGGCCAACACGCCGTGACCAACCCACTGGGTGGATCAGGGGACTCCACATGTGGCACCAGAAGTCGTCATCACTGTCGCCATCCTCATACAGGAGCCGAAGGCGACCCCCAATTACTGTGTCCACCACGGCCATGCGGGTCCGTGACACCTGGGCCTTGTCCACCACCTCCAGCCGCATGCCTTGCCGAAAAGGGTACTTCATGCTCTCTACCATCTGCAATGTCAGAACACAGGCCTGCTGTGGTCCTGGGGACCCTCCCACCCACCTTCCTGTTCTGTCTCTTAAAAGCATCCAGAGAACAGGGAAGGTGTGGGAGAACCACACCCAACACTAAGTCAAAGAAGTGAACAGATGAGCCTTCCCCTCCTGCCAAGTTCAACCCCTGTGGGACAGGAATGCCCAGTCGGAACCCCCAATTCCCCACGAGGATACTGAGGGACAGCACACAGCTTACAACGTACGCACCAAAATGCCAGCAAGTCAGCATGGTGGGAATTACGAGACCCGTTTCAGACTAAGGAAACAGGTACCCCAGAGGGCTCAAGTGACTCACCCCGACTCACCCAGAGCCATTGGTGCCACAGCTGGGCCTTGAAACTGGTCCTAGGGTCCAGCCTTGTGGTCCTTCCCACTCCCCCCCCCCCCCCGGATGGATGGCACATACTGCACTGTGTCTGGAGCGCCGAGTCCCCCAGTGTCTCCAAATGCCAAATTATAGCTCTGAACCCCATGGCTTGCAGCTTTGAACGGCTTTCCTACTCTGACCCAGCAAGGGAGGGGGACCAAAATGCCCACACGCTGTCCTACCTACAGGCCTGATGGCAGGCCACGAATGAGGGTAGGGGATTCTCTTGGTTCACTGTGACTCAGTGCTGGCCTGCCTGGGGCAGGGAAATGGGACCCCTGAGACCTGTAGAGCTTAACAGCCCCAGGGAAAACCAGCCCCACCCAGCCTAGGCCTGGTGGGGGCTGAGCAGTGCTATTTCAAAGCCTACCAGGAGGGGGAGCACCTCAGAGGTCACAAAGCAGCCACCAGGAAAAGTGCATACAGAGCCCTACATCACAGACCCTTCAGCCCTCAGCTCAAGGCCTGGAACACCCCTAGACCACTGCCTGACTGGCTCATTGAGGAGAGAGACTCAGGGTGAGGCCTGGGTTGGGGTCCCTGGGCCACTTCCCCCTCCTAGCCCTTCCTGACATTCCTTTCTTTTGCACCCACCCAGTGTAGCCCACAGCCCAGTACCACTTCAGTGCCCCTTTTGGCTAGTGACACCCAGAACTTGAGCCCGGCAGGGGCAGAAGCCAGGTTTGGTAGGATTCATTTCTACCTCCTCAGGTCCACGCACACAACCAGGCACAGAATTAGTGCTCAGTTAATGTTTTTTCTCACCTGACAAACACATATACACACCTGACCCTGCATTCAGCATTTCATTCAAAACAATGTACTCGGCCTCTATCACATTGCGGGCGTCCACAGAACTGGACCGGGTGTGGATTAGAGCTTCGTTCACAAACCCGCCCCCTTTATCCGACCGGCCCCCAAGCCTCAGAGGCAGCTGCTTCCGTATCCACCGCAGGCCTGGGTACGAGACACCTAGTCATTGCACGCTTGCTGACCGGTTCACACAGAACCATGCTCTGCCCCCAGGAATCAAGCTCATTTTGATTTAGGCAGAGACCAGGCCACCTGGATGACGCTAGTGGCCTGCACCACCCACAATCACCTGCCTGCCCTCAGGCAAGGGCCACCTGAGTGAATGCTGGTTTTCAAATGCTGCATCCATCAACCGTGCAAGGCATTCTGAAAAGCGGGGCAAACAAAGCTTATGGTTTTGTTGGAAAGGGAATGAAACGATAAATTAGCAAAATACAGAGAAATAAAGAGCAAATGGATGGTACCCAACAAGGTCAAATAAAGGAAAAAAAATCATTTCTACTTTAGGGAAAAAAGCCAGCGAATGCTTCCTTGAGGCACGGGAACCATTCCTTACCAAAGGCCCGCTCCACTCTCCACCAGCTGAGGGTGGCAACCTCTGCACCAGGCGTCCGGTGCCTTGATGAGATGGGCCCAGCTTCTATGCCATCCCTATTTTCAGCTGTCGGCTTCCATCCTACCCACACCCTACCCATCGGGGTAGAATTCAGATGCCTTTCCTCCATGAAGCCTTCCTTGAAGCCATGCATCACGGCAGCACCTGCTCTGGGTCCCCCTGCTGGCTGCTGTGAAGCACACCTGTAAGCGCCTGGCCAGGAGCCCTCAGAGGCAGCAGGAGCCCTATGCGAACGAGCTCAATTTTTAAAAATTAAAATAAAAAAGCTACAGGGATGATTTGGAGGCACACCTCTGGATCAGAACCAAGGCTATTTATAATTATTTCTGTGCTTAGGGGTCCCTGGCTGGGTCAGTCGACAGAGCATGTGACTCTTGATCTCAGGGTTGTAAGCTGGAACCTCACATTGGGTGTAGAGATGACTTAAATAAATAAACTAAAAAATATATATGTACATGTTATTATTTCTGTACTTGACTTTGTTTCCTCTGCCAGACTGGTGAGTCCTAAATACAGGGTCTATATACAGGTATCTTGGCATGGATACACATGCTTCATAAAATCTATGCAATAAATACTGCACAGAACCCTGGTTACACAGCCTGACTGCACTCCCGCCAACAGGGAGTGCCAGAGCAACTGATTTCGGCCTCTCTAGGCCAGTGTTCGCAACTTTAAAACCTGAATCTTTAAACCCCGCTCTACCACCTGTCTGCCCTGGGTCCCCTGGGATTGGGGAGGACAGAAAATGTTCCTGAAAAATGCTATGTGCAAAGGTAAGGATCTGGAGGAGCAAACGGGAGACAAAGCAATGTGACCGCCTCGGCTGGATCGGTGAAGAGGCAGACACTAAGCCGGAAGGGAGCAGCAACCCACACCCTTCCCTGAGACACGGGAAGCTGGGGGGCACCAGGGTGGCTCAGTTGGTTAAAGCGTCTGCCTTCAGCTCAGGTCATGATCTCACGGTTTGTGGGTTTTGCTCAGAGCCTGGAGCCTGCTTCAGGTCCTGTGTGTCTCTCTCTCTGCCCCTTCCCAGCTTGCTCGCTTGCTCGCTCGCTCGCTCTCACTCTCTCTCTCTCTCTCTCTCAAGTAAATAAACATTAAAAAAATTAAAGCAACAACAAAAAAGAAAAGTGAGGCTGCTAAAAACTACCAAGCAAGGGAGTCTTTGGGAAAATACTCCAGTGAGTAGCCTGGACAGAGAAAATGGGAGAGGGGCACGAAGGAGATCACTTAGGAGACCCCAAGGGCTCACTGCCAGACCTTGATATGGAAATCCACAGGAAGCGTCCTGGAGCCCACCAACCGTTTCATGAGGTACCCCTTCCAGTCGGTGAACTTGGCATGGATGGCTGTGGAGACACAGCAGAACCCTGGTTACACAGCCTGACTGCACTCCTGCCAACAGGGAGTGCCAGAGCAACTGATTTCGGCCTTTTCAGGCCAGTGTTCGCATCTTTAAAACCTGAATCTTTAAAACCAGCTCTACCACCTGTCTGCCCCGGGTCCCCTGGGACTGGGGAGGACAGAAAGCGGGCTGGCCAGTGAGTTCTGCTCTGGTCTAACCTAAGACAAGAGGTGCCCCCTTCTACCATGGGCTCTGTGGGAAACAGGACAGGGAAGGTTCTGGTCAACTCACTGCGTGGGGGCACCAGGATCTTGCTGTTGATGGCACACCAGCCAATGGGGTGGACATCCACTGTTCCCAGGTTGCACCAGAAGTCATGGCTGGCGTCATTCTCAAAGCCTTCGTACCGGAGCAGCACCCGGTACCCTGGAAGAAGGAAATGGCACCAGTGAGGGAGGGTGGGACGGGGAAAGGCATGTTCTCAGGCCTTCCCTCTTTTCCAGACTAAACTGACTCGTATTCCAAGAACTCCTTCCAGGCAAGTGGGGTCCCTGTTGTCCATAACGGTCACAGCCAGAATAAACCCATGCCAAGTCCTGGGAAAGCAGGATAGCACCGCACTGAGAGTTTTTTATAGGCTGACCGTCCCTGGAAAAAAAACCTTAAAAGGGGGAGTTTGCAAACTTGCCATGCTCTGTGGCCTCCCAGAAGCCAGGGACGGTGGGCGAATCCCAAGGAGGGAGGCAGAAACTCCAGTGGGTGGGCCTTTTGTTTGTTTGATGCAGCCAACCTCAGCTTGCAATACTGCCCACCCGCGTGGGGATGTCACTCTCCAAACCCAGACCCTGCGTTGGCCAGAGGAATACGCACCCGCGGCCTGGATGACAGAGGCAATCCAGTACACCCGGCTGGGGAGCACGGCGTCGCTATTGAGCACCTCCACCTTCATCCCCTTCATCACATCCTCCCACTGGTCATAGAGTGGGACCTGTGGGGGCACGAGAGCATTTGGGGGGACAGTGAGCTGCCTGAGCAGACAGGGAAGGGTGGCTGTCCTCATGGGTCATCATGTCCTTCTCTGCCCCTCAACTTCTCACAACACTGTCACTCCAAGCCAGGCATGGGACTAGGGATGAAGAGATGAGCAAGACAGTCCACTGTCCTCCAAGAGCTGAGTCAAGACATGGGGGGAGGGGGGAGGGGAGGGGAGGGCCGGTGCAGTGATCATATTCTGGAATCGTCAGCCCCGGGTGCTGATCTTTACAGAGCCACCTTCTCACTGTACAGTCCTGGGCACAGCACACCTGTGGTCTGGGCATCAGTGACGACACATAACATCTCCTAGTGCTCACCACATGCCAGGCACAGTCCTTGGCACAAATACCACCTCTTTCAGTCCATACTCAAGCCTGGCCCTAGTGTCTCAGCCGTCACCACGCCGGCTCTCAGAGCTGTCTACCCACACACTATTTCTGGCACATTCTTTCTCTACCTCTCCAACCAATCTCCTCTTCAGATGCTCTCCATCAGCAGCGGACCTTTTTGCTGGCCTTTCCCCCAATATCTAAACCTTACTTTGAACCAACAGCACCTTGAATCTCCTTTGGAGAAATTCACCTATTTTTCATCCTCAGCCCTGGCTTAAGCTAATTGGGGTATCCCATTCTACCTCTCTGGCCAGAGAGTGGGTCTGTCACAGAACCTAGAAATGGTTTTGCTACCCAGGCACAAAGGGGTCAGCCTGGCAGAGCTTACTGAATCCGGTGTGCTGAGTGCAAAGTGTGACGGGATTTCCCTGCAGTGAAAACTTAGGGCAAAAGAGCTTCCCACTAAAGAAGCTGTGCGCCTTCAACAGAACTCAGACTAGAGTGAGACGTTCCGACTGTCCGTGTCCACGGCACTCCCCAGAGTCTGGTGGCTGCTAGATGTGACTCTGGTCAGAGGACTCCCAAGAGTTAAGAGACCTCCTCCTCAACTTCCTGGGTGTTAGCAAATTGGCTTGAAAGGCCAACTGAGAGCGCTGCTCTAGGCAGTTCTCTGGCCTGCAGCCTATCACAGGCTGTACATGCAGCCTGCTCTTCCACTCTAAGCCTAGCCCCCCACCCCGGCCCCCTCCTGGCCTCACTCTTCTGGGGGCTTCTCTGTGCCAAAATGGGCTCCAGGAGGCATCCACATCTGTCCCCCAGGAACCTGGGAGCTCAGGGCAGTCCAGAAGCACCAAGCTTTCAAAGGGAAAACATGAACACTGGGGAAGAAAGGAGGAAAGGATTTCTAGCACAAAGTTCCATTACGTGAACAAGTAGAGTGAGCACCTCAGAGAGGAAGCCCAGTGCTAGAAGGCCTCAGGGAGGGTTTGTGGGAGGACTCTGAAAAAAAGGTGGACAGAAAGGGAAACCAGAGCGAGTGGTAAAGCTGGACTGCGCCCACCCACACCTCACCACTGTTCTCTCCCTGGTGCCAGTGCCCAGCTTGGAATGATTGAGGCTGGTGGGTGAGTCAGGTGGCAAGCACCGAGTTCCCACCTCAGCCCTCCCACCCCCCCTCCATCTCCATGGCACTCACGTGTTTAAAACAGCTGACAGGAGCAGCTTTGTAACTGTGATCCTTCAGGAACTTTCCCCAGTCGAAACCCAAGACCAGTGCTGCACAGCAGAAAGAGGAAGAGTTGGAGTCAGCTGCCCTGCTAGGAACCTGGTGCCCAGAAGCCTGTAGAAGGAGGTCCTTCCCCACCTGGGCAGCCCCATACCTGCCCCACCAGTGGCCATCAGAACGGGGCTGGACCTTATCCAAAGGGTGACAGACTCTCAGGAGTGGAGGAAACATTCAGGGAAAATGTCTGATCCTTCTTCCCCGGAAATGACAAGGAAATTCAAAGACCTTTGGGCTTAAATTCTTGAGACCTCCCTCAACCTCTCATTGGTCACAGCCAGGCAGAATGGGTGGGAGGGGCACACACCTAGGCCCCTCCAGCTCTCTCTCGAGTGTGTAGAGCTCAACTACGGGCAGAAACAGACCACCTAGAGCAGAGCTGCTTATTGCCCGCATGCTCAGAAACTGCTGGGCCCACTCAAGAGAGAAAGGCTACTTTCCTCATCTCACCACCCCACTCCAAACCAGACAGGGGTCTCCATTGCCCACAGGACACAGAAGCCACAGGGCTAAGAGCAATACAAAAGAAAAGAAGCTAATTCTTGGCTTCTGAACTATCAAGAGTAGAGGTCCTGGTACCTCAGAAGTGACTAAAGGGATTTTTGGGGGTAATCTGCACAATCCCTACCAAATAGGGAGGATGCAGTCCACAGTGGGCCTGGGGCAGGACACTCTGGAGCTGCACATCCTTCCCATTCCTGGCTCCTAGCAGGGCCAGCCCAGGCCTGGCACCCCATTCCCACCCCCACAGCAGCTTCTGAGCACCAGTGTTCTGCTGTCTTACCATCCTGCCCTGTCGGCGTCCCATCTGCCAGCTGTCCTGTCCCCTGGGAGTGGAGGAAGGCTCCAATTTTGGCAGACCAGGCCGCCTTGTGCAGGACTTTGGCTTTCTTGGTAGGTGGTTTTCCCTGGAGGGAGGAGAGAGTGTGTGTGTGTGTGTGTGTGTAGCTTAATGGCGGGATGTGGACTGCCTAGGTTTAAATCCTGGGATTCAGTCACTCAACTTCTTCAGTTTATTCATTTGTAATTCAAGTGTATAACAATAACAATGCTTGGCTCAGTGGGGATTGCAAGGATGAGAGTCAGCTATTGTTCAGATGGGGAGGGATGGGTCACAGGAGCCACAGGGCAGGGAGGGACACTTGTTCTCCCTTTTCCGTCTCTTTAAGCCTTTGTTTCCTCCAGGGACTTTTCCTAGTAGCTTCAGCTCTCAGCCATCTCCTCCATCAGGTGCTCCCACAGATTTAAGGCAGAGAGTGGGTTTCAGAGAAGCCCAGGAGGCAACACTGTGTACACATACACGAATGTTCTAGAGCAGGTCTGTGGCTTTCATCAGGTGCTCTATGGGGGCCTCTCCAAAAGTGAAAGGCCACTAATCTGGTCTACAGTTTGTAACTTAAGCACTGATTGGAAAGGGCCAGAGAATTTATTTAAAAAGATCAGTGAAGGGGCACCTCGGTGGCTTAGTCAGTCAAGCCACCAACTTCGACTCAGGTCATGATCACACGGTTCATGGGTTTGAGCCTCACGCAGGGCTCTGTGCTGACAGCTAGCTCAGAGCCTGGAGCCTGCTTCAGCTTCTGTATCTCCCTCTCTCTCTGACCCTCCCCTGCTCACGCTCTCTCTCTCTCTGTCTCTCTGAAATAAATAAAAAACATTAAATTTAAAAAGATCAGTGAAGTAAAAATGTGAGTTTAAATTCCACACAGACCTGGGGAAAAGTCCTGGCTCTTCAATTTGTAACGTCTTTGAGTAAGTTACTAAAAACTTTTGAGCATTTAAAATAGGAATTTAAGAGGTGCCTTTGTGGTCAGTTGGTTAAGTGTCTAACACTTGATTTCAGCTCAGGCCATGATCTCACAGTTTGTGAGATCGAGCTCCACGCTACGAACCCGCTTGGGATTCTCTCTCTCTCTCCGCCCCTCGCCTCACTGGCTTGCTTGCTCATGCTTTCTCAAAATAAATAAATAAACATTAAAAAAGATTAATAGGGGCGCCTGGGTGGCTCAGTCAGCTAAGGGTTTGACTTTGGTTCTGTGTTGGCAGTGTGGAGCCTGCTTCGGATTCTGTCTCCTCTCTGCTCCTCCCCCGCTTTCACTCTGTCTCTGTCTCTCAAAAACAAACGTTAAGAAAATAATAAGATAGAAATTTTTAAAAAATAATAAAAAAGAAAATAAAATAGGAATTTAAGGGGCATGTGGCTGGCTCAGTCAGTAGAACATACAACTCTTGACCTTGGGGTTGTAATTTCAAGCCCCATGTTTGGTGTAGGGATTTCTCTGGGGGGAAAAAAAAACTTAAAAAAATAATAAAATAGGAATTAAAAAAATTCACTTAAAATATTTTTAATGTTTATTTATTTTTGATAGAACACAAGGTGGGAAGGAGAAGTGAGAGAGGGAGACACAGAATCCAAAGCAGGCTCTAGGCTCTGAGATGTCAGCACAGAGCTGGACGTGAGGCTTAAACTCACAGACCATAAGATCATGACCTGAGCCAAAGTCGGTCGCCCGACCGAGAGCCACTAAGGTACCCCTAAAAATTCACTTTTAAGATATCATTGGTTGGTTGGATTCAGTCCCAAATGCTTAGCAAGTATCCCTGAATTGTAGCTATTAACAATACTATTCATTAGCTCACTGAGGAGAGAGATTTTTCTATGCCCTGACTACAATCTGCACAATGAGGGAAACAAAAAACAATGGTTATTCACAAAAGTGAGAGATAAACTGTACAAAATACAAAGCAGACCTGGTCCACTGTGACTTTCAATAAATGCCAGAGCAGTGGGTCTCAAGCTCTGCTGCACATGACAAGCACCCGGGTCCAGGGGGGCCCTGGCTGGCTAGGTTCCTAGAGGTGGTGCCTAAGACTCTTACCTCAGGGTTATGAATTAGAGCCCCATGTTGGGGGCAGAGATTACTTAAAAAAAAATAATAATAATAATAATAAAGCCCCTGTGTCCAGGCCACACTCCATTCAAATTAAATGAGAATCTTTGGGAGTAAGACCAAGCATTGATATTTTATTACTATTTTTTTAAAGCTTCTTTATTTATTTTTTTAGTAATCTCTACACCCAATGCGGGGCTTGAAATCATGACCCCAAGATCAAGAGCTGCACCAAACTTTAATATTTTAAATACTTCCCAGGTGACCCCAACGTGCAAGCAAGGTGCTAGAACCAGTGTTGTGGATGGTGGCCATTGTTACCAGGACACAACACGAAGTCTGGCACCTGAGATCACATTCCAGTCCCAGTTCTGCTGTTTCCCCAGTAGAACCCCCTTAGGTAAGTCACTCGTCCTCTCTGGACTTCAGCATACTTCTCAACTAATGTGTGGGTGAGACGACACATCTCTTTAAGAATCCTTCCATTTATTCTATGAATGTCAATAATTAACTAAAGATGAGTAAGACTGTCTAGGTGGCTGCCTATGACATGGAGTCAGAGACAAGGCATCAACTTCCTAAACCCACCGTGGCTGGTAAACGTATGCCTGTCTCCTAGTTTCCTTTCAGAGCGTTTATAAAGGTTGGGGCAGGGGTGCCTGCGTGGCTCAGCTGGTTAAGCGTCAGACTCTTGATTTGGGCTCAGGTCAGGATCTCACCATTTGTGAGGTTGAGCCCCATGTTGGGCTCTGAGCTGACAGCACAGGGCCTGCTTGGGATTCTCTCTCTCCCCCTCTCCCTGCCTCTCCCCTGCTCATGCTCTAGCTGTCTCAAAATAAACAAACTTAGGGAAAAAAAACAAACAAACAGGAGGCAAAGACCAAAGGGCGTCAGACTCCCCCAAGGCTCTTCTTTTCTTTAAAACTTACTAAACACATCAGACTCCTGGAGGAGGGGGAAGGTGGGGAATGAAGGGCGGCTCTAGAAATGTATAATTTAACAAGCTCCACAAACTGATTCCTCTGCACTCTAAACTTTGAGAGCATAATAAACAGCAGGAAATTTACAAGCTCGGACAGCCACAAGCAAGTTCCTTCCAAAGCCCTCTTGGTTCCTTTGCCATTAGCCACGTGGCTGTGCCTGTCTGAGCTCCTGGGGCCCCAGGAAGGGTCTTCCGAGTGAGCCTCTTACCTGTAATCTGGCCAAGATACTGGCTTTCTTGGAGTTGGAGGAGTAGCTCCTGGAACAGGAGACACTGCAGAATCTCTTAGTCTTGGAGAAGAAGGCTTCCCTTGTACCCACGATACCACACATCTCACAGACAGCTGGGAAGAGAACTTAGTGTGTGACCCACTCTGATATGGTCACCCCAAATCCAACAAAATATGGGCCCTTCAAAACCTGAACAGAACAGTGCATTAACCAGGTGAGTCCAAGCCCCCACTGAGACTGACAGGAACTGTAACTGGAAGAGGAGGCTTGTATACAACTGACTCTGCTTTGCCTCAGATACGCTGCCTGGCATCCTTTGCTTATAAGTCAACAGTGGAGCTACGGAAAATCCACTGGGCAACGGGGGAGTATTGGAAAGTTTGTAAAGAAGAAAACGAGAAGTTAAAATGCCATTAATTTCTGTGGGTGTTTTGTCTTCTTGTCTATAGAGACCGAACTAGATCAAAGTTTCAATCCTGACATATTAGAATCACCTGAGTACCCAAGCCTGCGATTCTGATGAACTGGTCTGTGGAGGGACACAGGCATCTGTAGTCTGTTAAAAGCTCCCCAGGTGATCCTAATGCACAGCCAGGATAGAGAGCTCCTGAACTCCATGGTCTCTAATTGTTCTTTCTAGTTCCAAAGTTCGAAGATTCCAAGAGAATAGTTGGAAGAAAATAGAAAGGAGAAAGATTTAAAAAAAAAAAAAAAAAAAAAAAAGGAGGCGGAGGAAAGGAAGAGAAGACTAGCAGAAAAAAGTCAAGTGGCAGAATATTAGATCACTCTTATAGAGAGTTTAGGCGCCATGGGACAGGACTGTCCTCACAGCTAGCCAGCCCATCTGTCTTCACAGGCAGTGCATACACTGGAGGCCCTGGCACAGTGGTCCAGTGGCTTTCCAAGCATCACAGCTCAGAAGCTGATCCATGGGGACTGTCATCAGTAACCCTCTCCCCTGGGGGTCACTGTATTCTGTATTGCCCCCACACCTCACATCCAACCCACAAGCTATTCCTGGTCCTTTCCCAGATAGTAATTGGAACATTTCTGGTGTTCTTCTCAACATCTAGGCTTAAAAATCAACAAGCTATTCACACAAATATAGAAGCCCCTACTAAGGACTGGCATCTAACATGTGCCAAGTAAATATTAGTTGTAGGAAAGAGCAAAGGAAATTGCGATTTGAAATCAGACTGCAGCAGAGGAAATGCCCCTTGGGGCTACTTGGGGTACTTCTGTCTCCCTCACAGGCCCTTAGACATCAGAGCAAACAGCTCTTTACAGCTGGACGGCTCTGCCCACATGGCCTGCGTTCCCCTCCTCCTCCTCCATAGCCCCCTGGAACCTCCCCATCTTCAGGGGACACTCCCAAAAGCACCTGGCTCAGAACCACTGCCGTCCAAGGAGCGGGGAGTCCCAGGACTGAGCAAATGCAGGGGAGAGGTGGGCAGCTCCCCTGCTTCCCGATCCTCATTTTCTGCTTCACTTGACCCCTCCAGATAGGAGCTGCTCTCGCTGCCCGCACTGCTGTTGTAGCTCCGGAAACTGTCATAGCCGCCAAAGAGCTCCAAGTCGTCTTCCTCTTCCTCCTCTTCCTCCATGGGTTCTGAAGATGGAGTTTCCTAGGGGAGGACACAAACCAGGCAGGAGAATCAGGTCTGACTTCGTGTATAGGGGAAGGGAAGGCTGCAGGTTGGCTATCAACTCCCTTTCCAGTTCTCGGTCAAGTCAACACCTCTGGGCCAAGTGGCAGGCAGAATCAGATACCCCCTTTGCGAACACCAGGACCATCACTTTTGTTTGTACAATTCTTTTTTATTTTTATTATTATTTTTTTTTATGTTTTATTTATTTCTAGGAGAGAGAGAGACAGTGTGAGCAGGGGAGGGTCAGAGAGAGAGGGAGTCACAGACTGAAACAGGCTCCAGGCTCTGAGCTGGCAGTCAGCACAGAGCCCGACGCGGGGCTCGAACCCACGAACCGCGAGATCATGACCTAAGCGAAAGTCGGACGCTTAACCAACTAAGCCACCCAGGTGCCCCATTGTTTGCACAATTCTTAACTGCAACTCATCAGAATAGCTTAACAAGACAGAAAGTATGTATTAGGAATTTACCAAGCTCATCCTGTGGATTTATACATGATGCCTTTTTAATGTGATTTAAAAAGAATACAATGATGTGAAAATACTCTAAGTAAGTTATCCCGTAAAGACTTTCTGGGGAAGATGTATACTGGAAAACCATTCTTCCCCCTTCAGCGTATGTACACCAAAATAATCTGAATTCAGAAACAATTTCAGCCATAGAAAAGTTAATTTCAGACGCAGACTGCCCTAGGGAAGAACTGGGAAGCGGACGACGCACTAGTTACGGCATCGTGGTGTATGTACCATAGCTCTGGACTCAGCTCCGATCCTCACCAGCTGTGGGCCTTTGGGCAAGTCATTTAACCTCTCTGGGCCTCAACTATCTCCTCTATGAAATAAGAAAAGTAGTTGGCAGACAGGATGAGAAAGATAAATGAGATACTGCATATCAATCCGCCTGGCATGTAGTGGAAAACGTCCCAGGGCTGAATACTATCTCTACTGCTGGACTAGCTGTACGATCTGCAGCAGGTCAATCTCTCAGTGCATCAGTTCCCACACCTGTAAATCAGGATAATACCACCTCTGTCAGAAGCTTTGCGGGAGAATTATGGGTAATATAAGTACGGGACTCCATCCAAACACTGGCTTGCCTGTAGCAAGTGTTTGATACATGTTGGCAATCATTACTGGTTAAAAGCACTGGCCTTCAAAAAACCAGATGTGCCTGGGTTCGAATCCCGGCTCTGCCACTTAACTGTGATTTTTGTGTAAGATATTGACCCTGGCAGCTCGCCGTTTCTTCATCAGTACAACGGACATAATAAGCCTTCTTTAGAGGCCTGGTGTGAAGACTGACATATGCAAAGCCTAGGTCTGTTTCCAGCTGGTCGTGACAGCTCTAAAAGCGCGAGCTATTATTCTTACTCTCCTTTACCCTTATAGAAGCTTTGGGCTGTTCCATTCTAGGTTTACAAGTACACACGCCGATGTACTAGAAATAGGAGGTGCCCAGAGCCAAAGGATTCAAGGGCGCATGGGTTGCAGGTTGGGGGAGAGCGGGAAGTTTCGGAGCCTGCAGGCTGGGTGCCCATCTCCTTCACTTTCCAGCTGTGTGGTCTTCCGGGGGAGTCACCACCTGCCTATAGCCTCGGCTACTCTAACCCTAACAACGAAACAGTAACACAGGATTGTTGTGAGTACACTGGCAGATCGTGCACGTGAACCCTCCAGACGCGTGGGTTTTATCAAACTTTAATCTCCTTCACGTCCCCACAGGATGTGACGACGGGCCTCCTAATCCCGAAAGAGACGACCACGAGAGAGGGAAGACGAAGAACACTCAGCAGCTCGGAGGTCCTGAGCTCAGTGCCCCTTCCCCCCCGGCCGGTGAGGCAGTTCCGCCCTGAACTCGTCGCCGCACGTCGGCCCCAGCAGTGTGGGAGCCAGAGGCCACTGGCCCTACCTCAGTTTATCCATCCTTCCACTCTCACCCTCCAGGCGTCGCTAAAAGGCCTAAAGAACGGTCGCCCGTGCGAGGCTCTCGGGGTTCCCTTTCCCAGTCACGAGAAATCCTCTCCTTCTCACCTCGACGCCCCGGGTCTTCTCCATGAGACCTAACACCGTTTCTTCAACCGTCACCAGGTGCAGGAAGCCATATTGGCCTCGCGGCTCTACCCGAGCGCAGTCATTGGCCGCCTCCCAGAACCGCGGGCCAATCACGCCGCAGGAAAGAGGATAAGCCGGTTCCGCGCTCACTCACGCCCCTGCCCCAGGGGGCGGGGAAATCGCAGGAGCTTGTGGGACTTGTAGTTTCTCCGTGGGTGCGCTTAGAAGGGGCGTTGCTATAGGGATGTGAAAATTCCCTGCTCGTTGGCCACGTCCCAGCTAGGGCAGGCTTCGTTTCTCTACGCTAACCCCCTCCTCTCACCCCTACCTCCTTCTTCATCAAACAACTATTAAGCGCGTAATATAGGTATTTATTGTTCCAGACACCAGGAATGACATCGCATTCCCCTTGATTAGAACTTTAAGGTGTCCTTTGCGCCGGGATGACTAGCAGAGAGACTCATTTCCAATTCAGGCAGAAACTGTACTATTCTTACCCCCAGTGCTATAAATGCTCAAAATCCTGCAGCACTGTCCCTCCATCACCATCTCCTGAATAAAACCTTGAATATGAGGCACTCTGCCTTACTCCTTTTGGATGTCCCACAACCTCCTTAAACACTCAGAATTCTAGGTGCTGTAGTAGATAGAGCTTTACAAACAGTCCAAATCTGAAGACAGCCAATCACTCTAATGAAGGTGAAGTTGTGGCTCTTTCGGTTTAGACCCTTTCCAGAATCACATAGGATTGGAATTTAAGGTTAGTCCAAATTATTTCCCTGTGCCATGCTGTGCCCTAGTTTTATTAAGAATCTAAATGTTGAGGGGCGCGTGGGTGGCTCAGTTGGTTAAGTGTCTGACTTTGGCTCAGGTCATGATCTCACGGCTTGTGAGTTGGAGCCCCACATCAGGCTCAGCACTGATGGCTGAGAGCCTGGAGCCTGCTTCGGATTCTGTCTCCCTCTCTGTCTTCCCCTACCCTGTTCACACTGTCTCTATCTCTCAAATATAAATAAATATTTTTTTTTTTAAAAAAAGAGTCTAAATGTTAAGGCACCTGGCTGACTCGGTCAGAGTCACGTGGGACACGTGATCTCTGGGTTGTGGGTTTAAGCCTCACGGTGGGTGTAGAGATTACTAAAATATGGGGCACGTGGGTGGCTCGGTTGAGCATTGGACTCTTGATTTCACCTCATACCATGATCTCATGGTTCCTGAGATCTGGCTCTGGGCTGACAGTGAGGACCCTGCTTGGAAGAGAGAGCCTCTCTCTCTCTCTTTCTCTCTTTGCTGTTCCCCTGCTTGTGCACATGAGCTCTCCCGCCGCTCTCAAAAATAAGTAAATAGCGGCGCCTGGGTGGCTTAGTCGGTTAAGCGTCCGACTTTCGCTTAGGTCACGATCTCGCGGTTCGTGGGTTCGAGCCCCGCGTCGGGCTCTGTGCTGACTGCCAGCTCAGAGCCTGGAGCCTGTTTCAGAGTCTGTGACTCTTTCTCTGACCCTCCCCTGCTCACGCTGTCTTTCTCTCTCTGTCCTAGAAATAAATAAAATATTAAAAAAAATAAACTTTTAAAACAATACTAAAGAGGGGCACCTGGGTGGCTCAGTCAGTTAAACATCCTATTAGGCTCAGGTCATGATCTCACGGTTCATGGGTTCGAGCCCCCCCATCGGGCTCTGTGCTGACCGCTAGCTCGGAGCCTGGAGCCTGTTTCAGATTCTGTGTCTCCCTCTCTCTCTGATCCTCCCCTGCTCACGCTGTCTTTCTCTCTCTCAGAAATAAATTTTAAAAAAACATTAAAAGAATACTAAAGAGAAAAGAATCTAAATGTAGTAATTGGAGGCTGAATATACGTTAAAAATATTTCTAACCTTGAAATATGCATACATGTAAAAGCGGTTCTTGATTTTTCCTTCCTTCAATCCCTTCTACCAACAGCCACATATTCCTGCTATCAACTAGTATTGAGGGTTCACCATTCAAAATATATCCTATATTCCTCCACCACTACCAGTCTACTGCCAGGGACCTCCCAGCAGGTCCCTGTTTGAATTTACACCTTCTTCAACCCACACAGGTGATCTTTTAAAATCATAAAACATATCAGGTTCATCCTTTTGCTTAAGGGGAAGTGCAAGCTTCCCCTTGCACTTTGAATAAAATCCAAACATTCCACAAGACCCTGAATGACCTGGCCACAGCTTTCTCCTTAACTTCTTTTTTTTTTTTTTAAATGTTTTATTTATTTCTAGGAGAGAGAGAGAGAGACAGCGTGAACAGGGGAGGGTCAGAGAGAGAGGGAGTCACAGACTGAAACAGGCTCCAGGCTCTGAGCTGGCAGTTAGCACAGAGCCCGACGCGGGGCTCGAACCCACAAACCGCTAGATCGGATGCTTAACGGACTAAGCCACCCAGATGCCCCATCTCCTTAACTTCTGCCTGTACTACCCTTTGACTCCACCCATCCACTCACTTCTTGTTCTTGACTGCCAAGCTTGAGTTCCCTTGGGGCCTTTTACACTTGCTGTTCTTTGTGTGGGACATTCCTTCCGTGGCTTTTCTCACGGATGGCTCTTCATTTTTCAAACTTCAGCTCCAAGTCACCTCCTCAGAGACCTTATTTATTTATTTTAAGTGTTTATTTTTGAGAGAGAGAGGGAGGGAGCATGAGCTGGGTAGGGGCAGAGAGGGGTGGGGGACAGGGGATCTGAAGTAGGCTCTATGCTGACAGCAGAGAAGCCCAATGCGGGGCTCAAACTCACAAACTGTGAGATCATGACCTGACTTGAAGTCGGACACTTAACCGACTGAGCCACCCAGGTGCCCCAGGAACCCTACTTAGAGTAGCTTTTCCCTCCCCTCACTCTATATCCTTTCACCCATTTTATCGTTCTTCACAGTACTTGCCTCTGAGATTATCTTGTTTACTTGTTTATTTGTTTATTGCCGATCTCCCATCTCTGGAATGTAAGACCAGAGACTTTGCCTTGTTCTCTATTTCCAGAGCTCAGCTAAGAACATAGCTGAGCATACACTAGGTGCTCAATGACTAAAGAGATAGATAATAAGACTCCAAGGATTAAAACAGGTTGCTTTTTTTTTTTCAGTTTTACTTTTTTATTTTAGAGAGAGAGTGCACGCATACAAGCTGAGGAGAGGGGCAGAGGGAGAGAGAATCTTAAGCAGGCTCCACACTCCAAACTTAAGTTTGTCAACTGTTTTGTTCTACTACAAACAGGGTTCTTGGTCCAGTTTCTTCATAAGGAGATTTAGGCTTTCCTTCCCTGGGCCTCACCTTGTTTACCAAGTAAACTGGATTAAGTTGCTCTCATTCGGGGCACCTGGGTGACTTCGTTGGTTAAGCGTCCAACTCTTGATTTGGGCTTAGCTCATGATCTCATGGTTCATGAGTTTGAGCCACAGTGCAGAGCCTGCTTGGGATTCACTCTCTCCCCCTTTCTCTCTGCCCCTCCTCCTGCTGATGTGTAATAAACTTTAAAAAAGTGACTATCGGTTAACTTGAAAAGTTCTATGATTTCAAAGTGCAATAAACAAGATTTAATATTGGGCATAATAAACAGATGGAGTCTAGGTTTTAATTAGTGCAGTGGAAAAAATAGGGTCACTTCATTGGGTTGTTGTAAGAATTAGAAATAAGAAATGTGCAGTACCTGCCACATACTGGGGACAGTACATGATAGTTATCATCATTCTGTTAGACACCGGAATGGCAGCACCAAGAAGAATAAAACAGCCAAGAAGCATACCCTTTATGAGTTGCCTAATCTTTCATTAATTTTATAAAAGTACAACCATGGGGGTACCTGGCTCGCTCAGTTGGTAGAACATGCAACTCTCCGGGTCATGAGTTCAAGCCCCATGTTGGGCATAGCTTCCTTAAAAAAAAAAAAAAAAAAAAAAAGCACAACCATAAATCTCACAGGAGGGAATCTGCTCATAGCAAATCATCCTCTTCATCAAATATTTATTTAGTGTCTACTGCATGCCAAGCACAGTGCTGGACTCGGAGACATAAGAGAACATCTCTGTCCATCCCCATGGAATTCACTGCCTTCTTCCTGCCGAGAGAAGGTGAAAACAGCATATGGTTCCACTGAGAAGGAACCTGGCAGGGTGCTGTGATGAAGCGTAGGGAAGGAAGCGCCTAGTTAGAATAAGAAGGTTGTTAGGGGAAGGGCATTCCGGGCAGAGACACAGAAGTCAGAGAGGGTAGTGAATAGCTCCAGCTGGCAAGAGAATTTAATGGGAAACCTCTGTAGCTTTTAAATGAGGGAGTGAATTGATTTGATTATGCTTTTTGAAAATTTAAAATTTATTTTGAGAGCGAGCGAGCATGTGCATTTCAGCAGGGGGAAGAACAGAGAGAGAATCCTAAGCAGGCTCCCTGATGCCAGCTCAGAGCCTTGTGTGGGGCTCCACCCCAAGAACCGTGAGACCATGACCTGGGCCTAAATTAAGAGTCAGATGCTTAACCACCTGAGCCACCCAGCCACCCCCATTTGATTATGTTTTGAAAGACCACTCTTTGGATACAGTGTGGAGAATGGATTGAAGGTGGGTTGAGAAAAACAGCAGGAAAAACAGAAAGCTTTTGTAATCCCGATGAAGGATGATCGTTACTTGGAACAGGGCAGACTCCGTGGGCATGCAGCAAAGTAGGATTTTTTCCTAAAGTTTATTTATTTATGTAGAGAGACACAGGGAGAGAGGACGTGCACAGGCAGGTGCACAAACACACGCAGGGGAGGGGCAGAGCGCGAGGGAGAGAGAGAATCCCAAGCAGGCTCCGCACCAGCAGGGCTCCAACTCACAAACTGCAAGCTCATGACTTGAGCCAAAACCAAAAGTCGGGCGCTTAACCAACTGAGCACCCAGGCAGACTGGGTAGACTTTTTTAGAAATGTGTTGGAGGCAGTAATTAATTGTATGGGGGGTGGGTAGAGTGAGGAACCCAGAACGACTCTGGGAAGACCTGTCAAATGGGTAGATGCCGGGAGCATGTTTCTTTTTCTTTTTTTTTTTAATTTTTTA